TCTCTTCTTCTTGATTCTCCTTTTCCTTTCTCATCTTCTAATTGTCTCATCCTTGACACGATATCTAGCCGGTTTTTGTGTTTTCCTTTGTCACTCCTGATATCCACGACAGAAAACAAGGAGTGCGCGAACTCCACGGGCTCACCCTCCACCCCGTGGTCTTGTTTTCCTCAATCCTTTCTTTTTGTTTGATCCTTTCCTGCCACTTTCTTACCTCTTTCCACTTTTTTCTTTTTTTTTTTAACCTGTCTGATTTGAATGCTGGATATCCTATCATCTTGTGGTGCCCCCTCTTCTTGTTTATCTTGTATGTAACCATACCGTCTTCCCCCATCATTTTCCTTGGTCTCTCGCGTCCGTTGGAAGCCTCGAGCGACCATCTGGGCAAACTAGGCACGGGGAAATGGCAGGATCCGCGGATTTTCATGTCTCCTTCTCATGTGTCATGCCAGGTCGGTCGTTGGGTTATTTTCAGAGTTCAAGAATTGAATCTAGGGTTCTGACTCTTAATTTGTTATGTCAACTCTTACAGTATATCAGTAGATCAGTAGATACTGCCCGCCCCAAACAGAGCCAATACATGTCAAAGTAGTAAGCTTCAAATGGGTATCTATGCACGATGTCAACATCAAGCCATCCGACCTAAAACCTCAACTTAGGCCCAACAAAAACAATCAAAATAGCAACAACCCACAACCCAAAAATCCAAGCATAAAGCATCATCCGCCCCCACCAACCCTTTCCCTCCGTCATCTTCCTCAACAGCCCCATCCTCTTCCCAGCAGCCTCCATAGTCGTACTCGTCCGATCAATCCCAGAAACAGCGCGGTCAAGCGCGGATTTCTCGCCTTCAAGTGTAGACTGGAAAGTCTTCGACGAGGACTTGAGTTGTGAGGCTAGCGTTAACAGGGAACTGGTTAAATCCTCTTGTTCCATTCGATGGGTACTGAGTTCTTTTTCGGTTGCTGGTTTCGATTGGGTATTGGTATTGCTGCTGGTTGTTGTAGCAGTTGGTTTTTCAGACGTAGACGAAGATGTAGAGGTCGGTGTTGCGGATGGAGTATTCACATGCCGATTCCGCAAAGTAGGAAATTGAGACGACGCAGTCGCAGACGTAGGCGTCGGCTCCGTAAGTGTAATACTCGGACCGGACATATCTAAAGACGCCGTCGTTGTTGAACTGCCTTCATCCATCTCATCCCACTGCGGTTCAGTCGTTCGAATCGGTGCGGGTTGGTGCCTGGTCTGCGGAGAAATAGAGGCGATAACCTTCTCTTGGGATATAGGCTTGGAGAATAGCTCCTTCCATTCATCTTCGCCGTCTTGATCTTCTTCGTCGTCTTCCTCATCCTCCTGCTTCACCTGCGCCTTGGCATCCTCTTCGTCGAGAATCGATTGGATCCGCTTGAGGAGTTGTCTATCGCGCGCGATCTCGGCTTGTGCTTCGTGTTTGCGGTCGAGGGGTTTGAGTTGCGGGAGAGCGCGTTCCAGTTGGGTTAGGAGGCTGCGGGCGTATTCCACGTTCTGGGGTTAGGTTAGATATTGACTGAGAGGTATGGGGTAGGGCTGTAGGAGTGGATATGGTTGGACTCACCTTGTTTATGCGCATGCGCTGGTATTCGGATTGTTGGAGGGAGCGCCGGTCTGTGCCTGGGGAGAGGAGGTTGTGTTCGAGGCGGGTGAATAGACGGGCGACATTGAGAAGGGCGAGGTCTGGAGAACCCTCTGTTGGGAATGCTGTAACGGTCATGATTGGAGTCAAGTGTGAAGACGGTAGTACGTAGATGTAGCGTGGTCATGACAGGATGACTCAGCTCAAGACACAGCCCGACAATGGTGGCGAGTCTAGTCCTTTTCCAGCGTCTAGTCCTTCTCCAGCAAATAGACTTCCGTGCTTGAGGTGGGCTACTGGCTAGTGGAAAACACAAATATGCCTAACTAAGGATTGAGGCATAGGCGTGGCGTGTAGGTCACCATATCCTTCGATTCTTTTTTGTATAAATGTACCCCAGCATCCGGTTTTGTACTTAAGTTCCCTGAAACCCAGATGGCTTTCAGTCTTCAGTCTTGTTTCTTATACTTCTTTTATTATACTAAGATGGCTAGTCTCTCCATTGGAGACATTGTTCTCTGCAGTCAAATCGCTTACCGACTCCTCACCGCTGCAACAACAGGTCGGAAGAATGCACCACGCGACATAAGGGAACTCGAGCATACACTATTAGCCTTGAATTTCTCACTTACTCATCTTCAAAAGGCCTCCACTGTGATCTTGTCTAGAAACACAAACCTGGAACCCGATGCTGCCGATATACAAAAACACTTGGGGGTTATGGTTCGCTCGTGCCGCCAAACCCTAGAAGATCTCGAACGAATGACCGCCAAATACCGCGACACTATGAAAGACTTCACTTCAATCCAGAGCATTGATAGTCCTGGCTACGCCTCTCTAGTCACACTCAAGATACAATGGCGGAGATTCATGTGGGACCTCCGAGGGGAGTCATTGACCCGCTATCGACAAAAGCTTGAGACCCATAGTGCTGCAATTAACCTTATGTTGAACACTTGCATATGGTTAGTCCCTGTCCACTATCTCCATATATTATCCTAACAGCATCCCAGGTCCACCGCCGATCGCATCGAGGAAGACAGCAGGCGTCAAGGCCAAAGATTAGAGGAACTACTCCACGAAGCATCCAATTTCAACGGCATATTCTCTCATCTCATGCAGAGTATCCACCTTCCCATCGTATCTCATCGGTACTCAATATCTCCTGTGTCCTCCCCATCCTCGGTGCTATCCGGCTCAACACTGAGGGAGGATGATCCTAGTGAGATATATACTCCAGACAATCATGGCCATATGGTATCCAGTCAGATTAGAGCTCAATAGCCAAGTCTCTCTCGTTTGCAGCACAAGGTTTGACACAATGTTGCAGTGTCAACTGCGTTCCAACCCTGGCATGTTTGTAATGGAGTCTAGGCGTTCTGTGATCTATATTTCAGCCCAATATCCCATTTCCCATTTCTACCTCCATTTTCAAGTCTGTTATATAAGGCATAAAAATTGTTATCACTTTGTCCTAGACCAACGTTCAACATGGGACGTGGGGCATACGATACAACAGGCGTGACAAGTAAGCCACAAATAGATCCACCAATAAAGTCACACGCTATGTAATTAAGGAAAGACTGCATGCACGGGTCATGTCATCATAAGAGAGCAGGAACAATAAAAAATGACAACATAAGGCAATAACCAGGAAAACAGCAAATCAAAGCGAGAATCCCAACAAAAAGCAAAACTGATCACTTGCAAAAATGCCAGCAAAACCACCCATACTTAATCATGAAGGAAGGTGATCCCCCATCCCTATAACTGTCGGCTAATTGTACTCGACAACCACCCGCTTCCAAGTTCGCACACCTTCAAAATCCTCCTCACGCATCTGCTGAACCGACTCATTGCACTTTCGCGCCATTCCCATCGTTTCAGGTGATGCCGTCCGGGAAGAAGCGATGTCATTCATCCCAAAGTTCGAGCTCACACTCTTCTGCTCTCGAGCCTGTGCAGCAAGGGCGCCACTGCTCGGAAAAGGACCCGACTGCGACAGAGGGCGGAGAATATCGCACGCAGAGGCCGGCAGCGCAGCGGAGAAAAAGCCATCGCTCTTTTCCATATTGGAAGAATAGCGCCAGGAGTCCGAATCAGGTCGTGAAGTAGTAGAAGGCAGTCTCCGGCGTCGAATTTTGATATACAGTCGAACAAGAACAAGACTGAGCAGCGAGAAGCTGACCACACACAAAACCGGAAAAGCTAGCCACGCCGTCAGCAGCGGAAGATAGACAGACAGACAGTCAGGAGCAGGGATCAAGCTCATGGCGAGATCGGTGGGATACAGAGAGTACCCAAGGGAAATAAGTTGAACTGACCCCAATAGTAAACCGGGGGGAAACAGCTCAACTTAAAGACGCGGGGCAAAACAAGGCGACCAGGGATCCTCGACAGAGTTTACCGAGTGAGAGGGCCTGGTATTGTTTAATTTGAGACTATACGCGGACACTGCCCGGGATGGCGGCGTATGAGGCGAATAGTGGCGAATGGGGGAGTCAGGGACAGGGGTTGGGCTGGATTAGGTCTATATAAGATCTCGACTACACTAGGGCTAGAAGCCAAGCTAAAGAGACGTAGTTGTGATGCCAATGATCGACGGGACGTATGGCGGGGGCGATGTACTCTGTATGTGTATAGAACAAAGAAACATTACAAAACGAACCACACGGTTCAGAGATTGAACTTTAAAACAGACTCTGCATTACAGTACATTCCTGTAAGGATCAAGGTGACGGATCAGAAACCTTGGAAAAGTGTCTCTAGCAACGAAAGTGTGTGGATAAATTGCCAGCCAGCCCTCTCATCTCAGCTGCCGTTTGACACGCCACCATCGTCTTAGGTATAGTTTAGGGTTAAGAACTATACTGCCTACAGTAAGTAAGCCACTACGCAGACCGCATAGTTCCCTCGATTTGGAATTAACCCGAATAAAAACAGGAAATTCACGATCCCAGAGGCTCGGTTGCGGAGAAAAACCTCCATGTGCTGTCGATCATGACAAAGTTGCATTTCGTCGAGATCGTAGATCGCGACTTTCAGCTGGCGCCTGCTCTTTAGTCTGTAGTTAGGGCCCGCTAAGCGTTCCCGCGCGTCGAATCACAGGGGGAACAGCCCTGCTCGGCTATTATAGGCGCCCCCTTGATGTGGCTAAAGTGGACTAAAGTGAACTAAAGTAAATTCGGGCGTTTTTTCCTTTTCTTTTCGCCCCATCAGGTTTTTAATGGCCTGTCGTGCACTGTTCATGTCCCGACACTGTGGATCTCTCACGGCGGATCTCCTATACTCTCCCGCGGGGTCTTGTAGATACACGATGATCAATATGGACAGTCTACCATTTGTATTTCTGTTTCAACTAACAATTGTAAATATACAAAGAACAATACTAGAGCTTCGCCGCAGGCTTCAATTCCTCCTTAGCCTGCTCACGCAGCTTGTTGCGCAAGATCTTGCCCGATGGATTCTTTGGTATCGCATCGAGGAATACCACTCCGCCTGTAATCCGCTTGAACGCGGAGACCTTGCCCTCCATGAACTGCGTGATATCGTTGGCTGTAGCGGATTGGCCCGGGTTCAGGACAATATATGCCCGAGGACGCTCGTCATTATTACTATTCTTGTTAGAAATGATAGATAGAATGGGAGGCAAATTGCAGACATTGACACTTACATGACTGCTCCGACGACTGCGACGTCTGCTATGGCGGGATGCTCGAGTAGCAGAGCCTCTAGTTCGGCGGGCGCTACTTGGTTGCCCTTGACTTTGATCAATTCCTGCATAAGTTATTGTTAGTTCCGTGTTACTCCCCTCTTCCCTCTGGCTCGCAGGACTATACCTTCATTCGATCCACAACGTGGAATTTCCCCCGATCATCCACATAGGCAATATCACCCGTTCGCAGCCAGCCATCGTCCGTCAGAGTCTCCTTGGTGGCTTTCGCGTTGCGCCAGTAACCCTTCATGATATTCGGCCCCCGCACCCACAGCTCGCCACGCCGGTTACGCTCCAACACCTCAGCACCCTCAGGCGTGACGATCTTCGCCTCACAGTTAGGATTAGGCTCACCGACAGATGCAGAGGTACTGGTCTGCGTCGGATCCCACCCAAGCACAGAACATGTCGCCCTAAAACAAACAATTAGCTCCCAACTTCCATCAAACGAACATGTATATATATGTGAAAGAAAGGGGGAAAAAAAAAAGAAATAAACTCACTCAGTCATCCCCCAGCCCTGCTTAACATTAATCTTCCCAGCAGGCCACAACCCCTCAACAACCTCACAAACCTCCCTCCCAAGCGGCGCAGCCCCACTACCAACAGACTCAACACTAGAAAGATCAAAGTCCTTAACGGCAGGATGTTTAGCCAGCGCAACAACAACGGGCGGCACAAGAATATAATCGGTAATCCGGAACCGCTGCGTATATTCCAGCATGCGCACGAAATCAAACTTGGGCATGATATAAACGGGCGTGGCGCGGTACAGCGCAGCTGCAATAAAGATATTCTGTGCCATTGCATGGTACATAGGCAAAAAGCATAACCAGCGAGCGCGGGTCAGACGAGCCTCGTAATCCGGCTTTAGAGTAGGGAGGTGGCAATATTGGAGCATATTGGCGACGTAGTTCTTGTGGGAGATTTCGACGCCCTTAGGGCGGCCGGTTGTGCCACTTGAGTAGTTGAGAGCTAAAGTGCGAGATGAGAGGGATGGTGTGTCCAGGATATCCCAAGTGAAGGCGGCGCCTTCTTCTGGGTATGCGACGAGGTCGCTCCAGTAGGGGCAGGGACAGTTTGGTGGTGGGGATGTGTGGCCATCGTAGATAGCGTTGTCAAAGGCGAAGACCCGGGATAGAGGGAGATTGGCTTGTTTAGCGGCTTCCAGGCCTGTTTCTAGACTGGCTGTTGCGCAGAGGAGGTATGTAGCGCCGCTGTCTTGGAGTTGGTAGGCGAGTTCTCTGGCTACGAAGGTTGGGTTTGCACCGGTGAAGATGCCACCGGCCATTACTGTACCCATGAAGACTACCGGGAAAAAAAGGTCGTTTCCTGAGAAGAGGAGGACGCGGTCTCCTGGTTGGAGGCCTGCTTTGCGCAGGCCGGCTGCGAGCCGTTGGCTCCAGAGGCGGAAGTCATGGGTTGTTAGGTAGTGGGTTTCTGGGCGGGCTGCTTCTAGGTAGCATTTTTGGGTTTTAGACAGGGCGGCCGTGGGGGATTTGAGGAGGAGAGATGCTAGATGGGTGTCGGGGATGTCAATTGTCCAGCGGGATTTGTAGGGCATCGTGACTTGGCGTGTATAAAGTTGGGATGGATATGTGTGGATAGGCTTATATGCAGTCTAGTAGGAGAGAAAAGAAGTATTTATGGCACTGAGCCCTTCAAATAGGGCTATCCAGCACAATTCGCGTAAATAGTTGATAGTTCATAGTTCCCCCGCATAGTCGGTTATGTATGCGGGGAACCCGAGGCGCTAGTATGGAGCCTCGGTGTTCACACTTATATAGGCTATATATAGTGTGGCTGTTTGCTTTATAAGTGAAAGAAATACTCGAACAGCTTAATGAATCTGTATAGTGGCTATGAATATACCTTGGAAGAACACTGATATAAACCGGGCCGATTGAGCTGGTGATATCATCGGGGGAACTCCGGCTACAGGCTACCCCTACACCAATGAGAATTGGAACAATGCAATAGTTTTATTGAGCTCCGGCATGCATAAAATAATTCATCTGCTACACCCCATCCAGCCCAGGTAATACGGAAATAGTGAAAAAAAGCAAAGGCTATAACGACATGTTCATGAATCCTCCTTGAGACACCCAAGTGCCGCCTTCATCTGATTGACAACCTTCTCCTCCAACCGGTTTTCTGCCCCAGAAGACGAGCTGAGAGGCTTCTTCCGGGTCCATTCAATCTCCTTATCACACGTTGGGACAATGCGAGCCCGCAGAACAGAGCGGCGGCCAAGCAGTTCCTCAATATCTTCCTTGACCTGCATCTTATCCCACTTGAGAGCCTGAATGGCCTGAGTGTCAATTCCAGCACTGGCGCCGGCCTCTCGGTATCGGTCCAGGATGTGGGAGATCAGAGCGAGGGAATTGGCCTCGGAGGCCATGCCAAGCGTTATCCAGTTCGAGGATGGTGCGATGGCGACGCCCGCATGCGCGGTGGAGAATGCGTCCGAGGCACGGGTTAGACGGCCTTCAAACTGGTTCAGGAAAGCGGCAACTTCTGGTGCGGTGCGCATGACACTGTAGAGGAGGTTCAAGCATAGAGGAAGGAAACCTCCAGTCCAGATAGCGAACAGGCGGGGAACTTGATCGAAGGGTCCGAACCCTTGGGTCTGGGAGAGGAGGTTTGTGAGACGGCAGGTAGAGAGCTTCATCAAGACTGCCTCAACGGCCAGGTGTTCTGCGAGCATGGGCAGCGTTGACATCTTGACGAGGATCGAGACACTGTGTTGGGCGTAAACAGGGTCACCTGCCGCGGCTAGTTGATCGGCCCAAGAGAAGAGCGTTGTTGCATGGCGAACAGTCTCGTTCTCCTCAATGTGGTACACGATATGCTCATACAGGCGATCGGCGTTCTTCACTTGCAAGACCGTCTGGAGAATGGCAATGATGATGGAAAAGTCCTTTGTTGTGCACTTTTCAGGCTCGTCGTGCAAATACGTGGTGAGAGTTCTGAAGCCCTGTGCCACAATCGTCTTTACAATTTCCACGATAACCGTCAGATCCGACGAAACCTCGGCCTTCTTGTTGATGACCTCGGGGGCCGCGCGAGAGGGACCGTCCAGGTGGAACTGAAGGGCAAGGAATAGCACATTCAGGAGAGACCGGAAATAATCTGTGTCGTCATGGATCAGAGCATCTTCATACGTCGGGTGCCGGGCTCGCAGTGCATTCCAGGCGATTTCAAGTAGCTGGAAGACCTCGGCACCTCTGGCACCCACCTCAACGAGCAGCTGGAGGAGAGCTTGGGCGAAGTCAACGCGCCTTTGCTTGATTCTTTCAAAGATGGCCTCGGAAGCACTGCTTTCGGTATTGGCGATTAGGCAGTTTTGCGCAACAATTGCCATTGACTTTCGGATTTCGTGATCGGGCATGAAGTCCCTGCAATGCTCGATGGCAAAGAACTTCCAACTGTTGAGAAGATCCTATATCCAGTTAGACACGGCGATGCATGTTAGTGTTATTAGACCAAAGACTTACCACCTGTGCCTCGACAAGAGACAGGTTGATATTGGCGCGCTGGAACTCATCGGCAAACCCACGGTTTCGGCTTCCAGCCCAGGCAAAGTCGTAGGATAGCAGCTTCTCTGCCATACTCAAGTCGTAGTAGTAATCTTGTCCAAGAGTACGAGCTTCGAGGAATGTTCTCTTGAAGTCGTCAATTTTGCAACCCGAGTATCGATTCTCGAAGTTCTTCTTCAAGTTGGCATGCAACGACGAATTGTAAGCGGAAACTTCAACCGCGCCATGAGAAAACCAAGATATCAATGGAATCATAGTTTTGATAAAGCTTCGGTCGTTCACTTCCTTTGCAGAATGCATGTAGACAGCGCAAAGGTCCGCGACAACAGCCGCTATCCGTGTGCTATGGATTTGGTCCGCCACGGGTAATTTGGCGATCTTCAACTTTGAGACGTGGTTGATAATGCTAGTGAAGAACTGGGGATGTTTGCCGAGATGAGGAGTGGCCCACGGCCAGTTTTCTTGTGCACGAGAGACAAATTCGAGCAAGGCCAAAGCCACCTGTGGCTCCAGTTGGTCGATGTGGGACAACTTCTCGAGCGCCATCTGCAGGAAAGGCGCACTTCGCATTCTTAGTCCATCGGAAGAGACCTCCTTCTTCAGAGTCTGACGAGGAGATGCTCCCGTCAAAATGAACACTGCAAGCCACTGCTGGCGCTTGCTGACGAATGTTGACAGAAGCTGCCATATTGCGAGTTGCAAGGATGTATCACCCAAAGGCTTGTCAAGCTGTGATAATACGTCAAGGAACAGGCAGGAGGACTCGGCCCCAAGGTGGCCAACAAGGGATGGTGGCTCGTTGTCTGGAATTGAAGCAGCGCTGGAGACCAAAATCTCGAGCATCGACACAACCGGTAATTTGAATGCATCGTGCAGGGCATAGAGCTTGACAAGAACCGGGCTCGCCTTGAACAACTGTTCCTCCAGAAGGGAGGTAGGCTTCTCAGCCAGTTGCGCTGCCTGCACAAGTCTGATACAAAGCCGCAGTGTTGAATTGACCTGGTTTTCGACTAGGTTGAGGTATCGAAGGTGGAGTGTGGGAGGAGCTTGAAGACCTTCAGTGATCAATCGGAGAATTGGGTTGAAAGTCAGGTCCGTTGTCGACTGAGGTCGCAGCGCATCCAGGATGTAAGCTGCTGAGGTAGAAAAGACACCGGTAACCTTCGAATCCAGCTTGGGACTGTCATTGATCCCATAAGCATAGTACAAAACGCGTTCAAACGATGCAGCAAGCATGGAGTTGACCTTGAACCTTTGTTCAGGTAGGTTGAACCTCCAGCTTCCGTTGCTGTTGAAGATCTCGACCATCACACGGGTGAAATTCAACAAAATGTTTCTCATGACATGAGAAGGAATACCCGCACTCCAATCAGACGCAATTGACGATTTACTTGACACACTGCTCGGGCTCTTCCGCAACACTGCTCGGGATGCCGCATCATCGACGACTGCTTCGACGAAATCGACGCAGCTGACCAGGAACGGATATTCACCAGAGGGAACCTCCATCGCTGAGATAATTGCGCTCATCATGCCACCTTTACCGTCGGACCCAATGAAACTGCTGCGTCCGAGGAATGGCCATACGCGGCTGGGAAGGACCTTGATAAGGGCTTTCATGAAGCCTAAGCATGCCATGGCTGCACTTGAACATTTGGTTGGGTCTCCTCGAGAGCCAATATTCTGCAGGTTGCGCTCGAAAATGTCGAAGACCACTGATATGATGTCGCCCTGCTTAGACAGCCCATCGCTAGCCAATTCCAAAATTCGCTTGCCACTGGTCGCTTCGGTACTTGAAGTCTTAGAATTGGCTATCAGTTCTGTCAAGAGCGCAATGATATCCGTGCCTGTGTCATCGGTCCATCCAGGCGACTGTCCACCATTTTCGCTCCATTCTTCAAGCCAGCTCCCCAAGAAACTCAAGCAGGAGTATTGATGTACCCACTTGATGACCGCTGGTTTCGAATCAGAAATGACCTGGCCAATTGTTTGAGTGGGAAGTTGAGAAGAGCCACTGACAACTAAAGCATTGCTTGATGCTCTCTCGGAATGTTGATGGCGAGATGCAACCTCGAACATTGGGAGGGGTTGAAGCAAAGCCACAAAGTTTGCGTCCTCGTCCTCTCGAATGGTTGCATAGCCTTGGAAATGGGGCTGCATGATCTGCGTGAAGGACTGCATGTTTTCCACCTCGTCTAGGATCTCTGGCAAGCCATCCTCATTCCAACTGTGTCCACTAACAAGAACCCGACAAAGTCGCAGAAAAGGTGAAGTTTCATAAGGGAAACGTGACCGTGCGACATTGAAGATGCTGTCCATCAGAAAGCGGTCTTTGGCAAATACACACTTGGGATCACTGGCGGGCCCTAAAGAATCCAAGTCCCTTAAAAAGCCACTGTCATCGTCATCCAGAATTGCCAGCACGGATTCCACAACATCTGTATACTCCAGATACATAATTGCAAGTCGGATGGAGTCAATGAGGCACAAGCGGATCCACCGGGCTGTCAGGCCATCGTCGACTGCTGACATTGATCCGATCTTTGAAGAGAGGATAGTGATGGTATTGAAAACCGATTCTTTGACTGGATCGGATGTTAAGATAACGATCGATTCCTCGGCAGTGTGTATCGGGGTTCGGGCACAGTCCAACAAGTCTTCCCAAAGCGAGTGTTCTAGGCCTTGGGATGATCCTGCGTGTTGCGTGTTCGATTGGAACGAATCGATGGCTGTGTTAAGCTGCACCTGCTCTCTGGTCTCCTTGTCTTCGGTTGCCAATTCTGCGATAGTATGGAGAATTAAGCCCCACGAAAGTACTGCTGGATTTGCAAGGACGACATCCTCGCACACACCGAGGAAGGTTTCATTGATTTTGGAAAGCTTCTGTTTGGATAAGAAGTACGGTTGCGACGAGTATCCGGAATACTTGCGACTCGTGAGCGACTCAATGACTTCGGGGATCTTAAGGAAGGCCAATGTGGTAAGTGATGCGAAAGCTTGGAGGGGCAGCAGCACTTCCTCTGGTTGCTGACAAGGCTACAAGCGTGTTAGTATGCAAGCTTACACATTATAATTCTGACACTTACCACTTGCTGTGTCTGTAAGAAGCCATATTCGGTCATGAGCTCAAGCCAGGACAGCAGGAGGTCTGCTGTTGGGATTTCCACCGAGGCCGAAAGCTGGTGGAACACAAGTTGCAAGATGTGAACAACTTCTTCCACAATGCTTGTTCTCCAGATGCCTTCAATCTCCTCATTGCTCTCTGCTGCACTCAGCCAACCACCATCACGCCCCAAAGCCGTCAACCGACTGCGTATTGAGGTGATGGATTCCTGGACGAATTGGTTCAATCCTGCACCTGACGATTTGGGCTGGAAAATAGTGGCCCCCAGCTTTTGCAAAGCGAGCTTGCGCTTCGAGCTGGCTGATGAAGTTGAGCCATTGTCCGGAATAAAATCATGCAAGGACAGAGTAAGTAGTTTGCGAAGTGTTTTCAATACATGAGTTGCCTCATAAAGATACAACTCACGCAACCGCAGACGTCTCTGCTCCTCTGTGTCAAATGACGAGATGCCCTCGCCTCGGCCTGTCTGGCTCAGAACAGCGGCCAGGTGGGGGCCGGCCAAAGAGCCACGAAAATTCTCGGTTCCAGTCGCGCTTTGTAGACTCGTCGCCTCCTCGCTAGAGAAGCCGAGGTTGAGGCGCGTCGCTGGGCGGTCCTGCCATTCCAGCACAGCGATCCGAAGAGCAGCGATCTCGTCGATCCCAGCCTTTTCGCTCAACCACAAAGCGTCGGCTTTGATTTCCTGAAGATTGAAGGAGCTTTGGCCATTGGTCTCGACGTGAATAGCAGCAGTTTTGGAATCGAATTCGGATTTGGATTTCGCTGAAGGGGAAGGAAACGGTTTCAAGCTCTCGGAAAGCAGGCGAATGCTGTCGGGGTGTGAAAGAAAGGCGTTGATAGCGCCTCCATCGGCATGGCCTTCAGGGTCGAGGGTGTAAAGAAAAGCTCTTTTCCAGGATCTGCAGCGTGTTAGCATATGCGTATATTATCGTCGGACCAAAGCAGACGCACAAGAGTTGAACGTCCCCGGAGAAGCACTTGTCCAGGGACGGGAAATAGGCCTCCGGGACGGGAGCCATTTGGGGCAATTAGATCATCATAGGATAGAAAGAAAGGGAAGAGCGAGGCGACACCACGGAAGGGCACGAGAGGGTAAAGAAAAGGGTGGAGGGGGAGCGTGGGAAGCTCTTGACTTGAGAGGGAGCTTCAAAAGAATATTCAGCGCGACTGGGTCAACAATCAGGTGCCGACTGGTTGTACGGGCGACTATTGCGGCCACTATGACAATAATATGTAACTGTTGATACTGTGATGATTCAGACAAGATTTTCCCTTCATGAATTGTCAAACTAAATATTAACATTTCTATTCACTTTTTGAACTCTTGTTCCCAAAGCAACATCAATAGAAGTAAAGAAATGCTCATAGCTTATGGCCGCAATTGTTCTCCGTAGCCTATTTGGACTTAATGCCAGGCGGTGAGCGCCGGCATTCAACCCGATATTCTTTCTGAGTCACGTCCATGCGACAGGAACATTTCTGGTCTGATTTGCAAGGAGTCTAGGGTTCTGTGGAAGACCATTTTGACCAATCTATATTCCTAACTCCCAATCCCTCAGCATCCGTGGCTATGGCGGACCTTGTCGACCACTCCCCCCACCATCCCACCAGCGCGGCAAAATTGGCCAGCGCCTCCAATGTCATCCTGATCGATAACTACGACTCATTCACGTGGAACGTCTATCAGTATTTGGTCCTCGAAGGTGCTACCGTGACCGTTTACCGCAATGACCAAGTTACCGTTGAAGACTTGATCGCGAAGAAGCCTACCCAGCTGGTTATCAGTCCCGGCCCCGGCCACCCAGAGACCGATGCAGGAATCAGCAATGCTGCAATCCAATACTTTAGTGGAAAAATTCCTATCTTTGGTGTCTGCATGGGTCAACAGTGTATGATCACTTCATTTGGTGGCAAGGTGGATGTCACCGGCGAAATCCTTCATGGAAAGACCTCAGTATTGAAGCATGACGCCAAGGGTGTCTACCAGGGATTGCCAACTTCGCTCTCGGTCACTCGGTACCACTCTCTCGCCGGAACACTCTCTACCGTCCCTGAGTGCATGGAAGTTACCTCGTGGGCTGAATTGGAGGATGGCAGCGGCAAGAACGTTATTATGGGTGTGAGGCACAAGGAGCTCACCGTGGAGGGCGTTCAATTCCACCCCGAGAGTATTTTGACAGAGTATGGACGTACTATGTTCAGGAACTTCCTCACTCTCACCTCTGGTACTTGGGGCAAACCCCAGACCGCAACTCCCGCAGCACCGGTGGACAAGAAACTCTCTATTTTGGACAAGATCTATGCCCACCGCAGAAATGCTGTTGCCGAGCAGAAGAAGGTCCCTGCATTGCGCCCGGAGGCTCTACAGGCTGCATACGACCTAAACATTGCACCCCCTCAAATTTCATTCCCTGCACGATTGAGGCAATCGGACTATCCACTCTCCCTGATGGCGGAGATCAAGCGTGCATCACCCTCAAAGGGTATCATCTCGGCCGATGTGTGCGCTCCTGCCCAGGCAAGAGAGTATGCCAAGGCTGGAGCTAGCGTCATCTCTGTCCTCACAGAGCCAGAATGGTTCAAGGGCACCATTGATGACTTGCGGGCTGTCCGTCAGAGCTTGGAAGGACTTACTAACCGACCGGCAGTTCTCCGAAAGGAGTTCGTATTCGACGAATATCAGATCTTGGAAGCACGCCTGGCCGGTGCTGATACTGTTCTACTTATTGTGAAGATGTTGGACATCGAGCTCTTGGCCAGACTGTATCATTACTCTCGCAGTCTTGGCATGGAACCTCTGGTTGAAGTGAATACACCCGAGGAAATGAAGATTGCCGTTGATCTTGGTTCCCAAGTGATTGGCGTCAACAACAGAGATCTGACGAGCTTCGAAGTTGACCTCGGAACCACAAGTCGCTTGATGGACCAGGTCCCTGAGAGCACAATTGTGTGTGCTCTCAGTGGAATCCTGGGACCCAAGGATGTGGAATCATATAAGAAAGAAGGTGTCAAGGCAATTCTTGTTGGCGAGGCTTTAATGCGGGCCCAAAATACCTCTGCTTTCGTCGCGGAGCTTCTCGGTGGTTCCGACAAAGATCTTGGCGGTGTCTCGAGCTCTCCATTGGTCAAGATTTGTGGTACTCGTACCGAAGAAGCAGCTGTCGCCGCCATTCAAGCGGGTGCAGACCTCATTGGCATCATCATGGTTCAAGGCCGTTCGCGTCTTGTCCAAGATGATGTGGCCCTTCGCATTTCCCAGGTTATCAAGTCGACACCCCGTCCAGCCAATGTCCCATCACAGCAATCAACAAAAGCTACGCCACTGGAATGGTTCGACCACTCTACTAATGTCTTGCGTCATCCTTCCCGCGCACTTCTTGTGGGTGTTTTCATGGACCAACCGCTGTCATATGTCCTTTCCCAACAACAAAAGTTGGGACTCGACGTTGTGCAACTGCATGGCTCTGAGCCACTGGAATGGGCCAGCTTGATCCCAGTCCCCGTCATCCGCAAATTCGCTCCCGGCGACATTGGCATCGCACGCCGCGCATACCACACTCTTCCCTTGTTGGATTCCGGTGCGGGAGGCTCCGGTGAGCTGCTGGAAGAATCCGGTGTGAAAAAGTCTCTCGATAGTGACGACGGACTGCGCGTCATTTTGGCTGGCGGCTTGAATCCGGACAACGTGGTCGAGACCGTGAAGAAGCTGGGCCAGTCTAGCCAGAAAGTAGTTGCTCTGGATGTCAGCTCAGGCGTCGAGACCAACGGCTCCCAAGATTTGGAGAAAATCCGGGCCTTTGTGAAGGCAGCCAAAAGCATTCGGCAATGATTAAGGAACCATACTTTTCATTTCTCGGTATATTTTTTTTCGGCCTCAATTCCTTACTTCATTTTCAATGCATCATGAATCTATGCTTTAGATGAATACACCATCAGCCATTTCGGTTTTTATATCTTTTCAGTCCACTCTCACTTGCGCTGGTTTGATCATATACCAGTGGAAACCCCAATCCTCATTGTTCTTGTACCAATATGTCCCTTAGTACCTTCCAACATAGTCTTTCTTCGCCGTTCTACTTCGTGCATCGAACCACCGTCGCTATCGCAAAATCTCAACCAACTAGAACCACAGGCAGACCAGCAGCGACTGGAGACAGTCGTCTCAGTCTTCTCAGTCCCTATTGGGATTGCCTCTTCTAGGCGTGTTTCATATCGACTCCATATTCTCGAAGAATACTGAGGCCGTCTGCGTCCTTCTTCGCCTTCGTTCACTTTCACTTGATCTGATATTGCCCCAAGGGGCTTTTCTGACTCTTCCTTCCATCAGGATCGATCGGTGATGCCTAGCATCCTACTTACTCTCTCTACCTCCACCCTTGGCGAACAGTTATTTGCTTTCCTCCAATAAACCGGGCATACAGATCCCAGGAATTATTCGGAGAAGCTGAAAAGTTCTCTTTGCAATACATCTGGGCCTCGCCTTCAATATACATTTTCGAGGACTTTTCGCCCTCAGCACCAGTCCTTCAAGCAGCAGAGACCCAGAACGCTCACGAAAATATCCAACAAATCCACCAGCTTTGGCTGATCTCCACAATGGGGAAGACATTTGCGCGCATTCATGCCGCAATCACAGGCAAGTTTGAGGGTGGCATCGGCGAGAAGATTCCGCAGTGGATACGAGCAAATGGGGGAGAGTTCAGCCGGGACGTCAATCCTCGCGTCACTCATTTGATCACAACGGAAGAAGCCTTCAAGCAAAATGTCGAGCCAGGTATGTTTGTGTCATCGCGAAACCCCGTCGAAGTATTGAGCTAAGAACCGAATACAGTGAAGGATGCGAACAAGCTCGGGATCAAGATCGTCAGCTACGATTGGCTTGATGACTCGCTTTTATCCCTAACTCGCCGGCCCAAGGGTGAGGGACTTTACCTTTTGAAGAATATCGTCAAGGCGGCGGCAAAGAAGGCAAAAGTACCCAAGACACTCAACAAGGTTGCCAAGTCTCAGGCTAAGCCAAAGGCCCCAAAACGTCCTATCGGTATTTTTTGCTCTTACTCTGTTGAAATCCGGTCGGCGAATGCACTGATATTGATATATTATAGTTGATCCATTCATCAAACCCAGAGGCAAAAGAAGAGGTAAGTACTGCTCCGCCATCATATCAAATATCAAGCTAACGTTTATTTGAACCTTTCAGCGGTGCGTCAAGAATACTTTGACAGCTTCACGGGAACCCTCTACAGTGCCACCATGTTCCGCAGAGCTCAACCATCAACCACGGCGAGAGAAAAGTGCCAGCTGACAGTAAGTGATGACCACCATTACAGTGGCAGTAAAGAACCATTACTGATCAATTCAAGGTCTACGAATCACTTTCTGAGCCACACATGTACTCAACATACATCAAATTCAGCCGTACCGGCAAATCCTCCGTCGAGGTCCTGACCCCACCGAGAAACAGCGTCCAGCTCGCTGTCAACATCTTTAAGATGCACTTCAAGATTCATACTGGCAAGGAATGGGAAGACCGGGCTGATGGAAAGATCCTACCACCCAAGAAGGATGCTGATGGAAAATCTTTGCCGGAACATGCTGGTTGGTTCTTCCTTGAGGAACACAGAAGTATTCTCGGCAGCTTCATGATGGGTTCGCAGAACATGGATACTCGTGCAGCGGATGACAAGACTGGAACCAATGCCTTGGCTGAGCAGGGAAAAAGCGATACCTCAGTGGAAGCGATGATCGATCTCGAGGGCGAGGAAGAGGAAGAGCGCTACGGCAACGGAGAATAGGCAGATAGTGGCGCCAGTGGTGAGAAGTCCGAGGAAATGGAGCTTGGGGATGGAGATTTCATCGCGAAGGAGTCTGATCAGGAGGGCGATGGAGCCGCAACCCAGGCCATGATTAAAGTGCTGGTATAGTGCCACTCATGAAGTATTTACATAGCCTCCACGAAGAATGATATTACTAGCTTACAGCCTTTGGGGTTAAAAAGGTACAACAGGGGTCATAATTGTGGTGCCATGAAGTATTGAACGGTCTCTACATGAAACTCTCGAAGCGAGTATACTGTTTACAGAAAGTTTTCACCCTATATTGGCCTCTCTTTTGCCACTCTTTTTTGCCCTTTTTCGAGTGCCTCGGGTTCATCATTTAGGCTCGTGTTTTCCAATCACTAACATTCCAGTAAACCATCCTATACGCCTAAACACGGCCAATCAAGGTCGAGCTACAAAGTATACGTGCACGTGACGTCGACATGGCTCCCTTGGGAACTTAAACCGTCCAAGGTAGCTAGTTTTGCCAGTCGATTTACCGTCAATTAGCGTTGTGGTGTAGATTTGATGCGTTGCATTCCATTTTGGGATCAAAATATATGATCCACATCATTTAAACAGGGTATAAAGACAATAACACAAGAAAGAACCCTTCTAATTGCCCTTTAACACCAGATACGCCAGTCGATCATCAATTTGACGATGTAAGGTTCTGTCTTTTTGACCACCCACGCCACAGACATTGAAGTGATGCGAATATGAAAGATTACAGGTAATCCTTCTTCTTACTGGTTCTTGTGTATTGAGTAAGGGCCCACTCAACATCACCGCTAGAGCCCTTCTCCAAGGTGCCTCCACGGATTTCGAACAGGCGCATAGTCATGCGTGGGCCAACCTCGGCCAGCTCCACATCGCGGTATCCAGTCTTGACAAAGACATGGTGGCGCACCTCGATGTTATCATCCTTGTTCACAAAGCTGACAACACGGTTGCCGACCTTGCCAGTCTCACGGGGCGGGAAGAGATGCTTCAGGATCTGAACAACACGGGCACCCAGCTTAGTGGTGAAACCCTCAAAGACCAGGTGCGGGTAGCTCTCCGACACGGTACCACGAGCAGAATTCGGGATATCTGCGCGCAGAACGACGTTGTGAAGGGAGAAGCTGGCAGTCGGGCCGTGGGGGAGATGTGAAATGGTGAGGGCGGTGGGAGTACCACGGTGCTCGTGGAGGAGGAGCATGTCTGTCAAGGCGGCGGAGGTTGCGCTGGAGACCATATCTCCCAGAACGAGGGTTCCACGGTTGAGACGGATAGCAGTGGGGAGAAGAAGACGGATTTCCTTTGCGAAGGCACCGAGGCGAGCAGAGGGGGAGCGAGAAGTGGTGACCAGAGGACGGGGATCGATAATTCCGGATGTTAAAACGTATTCGTCGTCGATGTCCATCTCAGTGTCGTCTTTTGATTCGTCATATTTGAAGTCCGCTCGAAGAGCCTTATCGTCTGCAATCGTGGGATCCAAAGGCTTTCCAGAAGCCAATGAAGCTTTCAGCTGGGCTCTTTTCTCAGCAATGGAGGCATCGCGGAGCAGCAGAGCTCTCCGGTAGAGATAATCGCGACGTTCGCGGGTTTGACGGCGCTGTAGACAATGAGTATAATGTCAAATTTCCATGCGATGGGTACTTACCAGCATTTTGTCGAGTTGGAGAATGTTGAAGTGAGAGGCGGGTAACTTTTTTTTTCTTAACTCCGGGGCTGCGTCTTTGGCTCGTCTGCGTAGCCGGAGTGGGATCGCACCGATAAAGAATCTGGGTTGCGGAGGGCTTCTCATCTAGACAACCTCACCTCTCTTTTGTTCGAGAGAGCTTGATGTATGAGATCACACAGACTTTCTGATGATATATTGCTAATGCTTACATGTCTAGTTCTCACCCCGCTCCTCTACCCCTCCGGCCCTGACTGCAACCCTCCAAGGACGACCGGATTGTCCTCTACGCTCTTTTATTGCTTACGACTTTCAACTCCTTTTCTTGCTTTCGCTTGCGCTTTCAGTTTTTCAGTTTTTGTTTTGCTTTCGCGCTTCTTTCACTCCGAACCTATCACCGCCAACTTCCCAGATCAGCATTCATAATGAGCTATCGGCCGGAAGATCCCTCAACGGGAGTGGAGATTGATGAGCATGACCAGACTGCACTTGGCCGCGCAAGGCCGAGGCTTCACGACGACGAAGATGAAGGCTCCGATACCTTTGAAGACGACGATATGGAAAGCACAGTGGGTGCGCCAGTGAATGGGAACCAGAAGAACCAAGGACATGGCGATGAAGAAATAGAGCTTCCTGTCCATGCATGCGCGTGAGTCTCGCCTCTCTTCTTTATATGAGATTTTACTAAGATTTAATAGATACTGCGGCATCCATAACCCCAGCAGCGTCGTCAAATGTCTTTCATGTAACAAATGGTTCTGCAGTGCTCGTGGAAACACCTCCTCGTCCCATATTGTCAACCACCTTGTCCGCGCTCGCCATAAAGAAGTTCAGCTTCACCCGGCATCCTCGTTGGGTGATACCATCCTCGAATGCTACAACTGTGGCACCAAGAATGTGTTCTTGCTTGGATTCATCCCCGCCAAATCAGATACAGTGGTTGTGCTTCTTTGTCGTCAGCCCTGTGCCTCTATGCCTTCCTCCAAGGACATGAACTGGGACACTTCACGCTGGCAGCCACTTATCGAGGACCGCTCTTTCCTCCCCTGGTTGGTGGGAGCGCCCACTGATCAAGAACAACTCCGAGCCCGCCACCTCAGCCCACAGGTTATTGCCAAATTGGAAGAAATGTGGAAGGAGAACAGCAATGCGACCCTCGAGGATCTTGAGAAAGCCACCGCAGTAGATGACGAGCCTGCCCCAGTTCTACTTCGCTACGATGATGCCTTCCAGTACCAGAACATATTTGGACCACTCGTTAAGATCGAGGCTGATTACGACCGCAAGTTGAAGGAATCCCAATCTCAAGACGGATTGATCGTGCGCTGGGATCTCGGTCTTAACAACAAGCATCTTGCTAGCTTTGTCCTGCCCAAGCTCGAGCTGGGAGATGTGAAGCTGGCTGTTGGTGATGAGATGCGCCTCAAGTACAACGGTGAACTGCGTCCCAAGTGGGAAGGAGTTGGATACGTTATCAAAATTCCTAACAACCAATCTGATGAGGTGACCATTGAATTGCGCGCCAAGGGCGATCACAAGTCAGTTCCAACCGAATGCACTCACAACTTCATGGCAGACTATGTCTGGAAATCCACTTCCTTCGACCGCATGCAATGCGCCATGAAGACATTTGCCGTTGATGAGATGAGTGTCTCTGGTTACATCTTCCATCGCCTTCTTGGTCATGAAGTTGCGGCTGCTCCCATGAAGACACAGATCCCGAAGAAATTCAGTGTTCCTGGTCTGCCTGATCTGAACGGCAGTCAGATTAACGCAGTGAAGAGTGTTCTGCAGCGCCCCCTCAGTCTGATCCAGGGTCCACCTGGAACTGGTAAGACCGTCACCTCAGCCACCATCATTTATCACCTTGCCAAGATCAACGGAGGTCAAGTGTTGGTTTGCGCTCCATCCAACGTTGCGGTTGACCAGCTTTGCGAACGTATCCACCGAACAGGTCTCAAGACTGTCCGTGTCACTGCCAAATCCCGTGAGGATGTAGAGTCTGCCGTTGGTTTCCTTTCACTGCACGAGCAGGTTCGCATGAACGACAGCAACATTGAACTGGTAAAGCTCAACCAGCTTAAGGCTGAACTCGGTGAGTTGTCTAGCCAGGACGAAAAGCGCCTGAAGCAACTTACCCGGTCTGCCGAGCGCGAAATTCTCACCAACGCGGATGTCATCTGCTGTACTTGTGTGGGTGCAGGCGATCCTCGTCTCTCCAAGGGCAAGTTCCGTACTGTTCTGATTGACGAGTCTACCCAATCCGCCGAGCCGGAGTGCATGATCCCGTTGGTTCTTGGTTGCAAGCAAGTTGTTCTGGTTGGTGATCACCAGCAGCTTGGCCCTGTTATCATGAACAAGAAGGCCGCTAAGGCTGGCTTGAACCAGTCTCTGTTCGAGCGTCTCGTTATTTTGGGCTGCTCTCCTATCCGTTTGAACGTTCAGTACCGCATGCACCCGTGTCTTTCGGAGTTCCCCTCGAACATGTTCTACGAGGGCTCTCTGCAGAACGGTATCACTATTGCTGATCGTGTTCGCCGTGATGTGGACTTCCCCTGGCCCATCATTGATGACCCCATGATGTTCTGGTCCAACCTGGGCAACGAAGAAATCTCCGCCTCGGGAACCTCGTACCTGAACCGTACCGAAGCAACCAATGTTGAGAAAATTGTTACCCGTTTCTTCAAGGCAGGTGTGCAGCCCAAGGACATCGGTATCATTACTCCCTACGAGGGACAGCGTAGCTACATTGTTAGCTCGATGCAGGCAAATGGTACCTTCAAGAAGGAGCACTACAAGGAGATTGAGGTCGCATCTGTCGATGCCTTCCAGGGCCGAGAGAAGGATTACATCATTCTATCTTGTGTGCGTTCCAACGACCACCAAGGTATCGGTTTCCTGAGCGATCCTCGTCGTCTCAATGTCGCCCTTACTCGTGCTCGTTTCGGTCTGGTCATCCTCGGAAACCCTAAGGTTCTCTCTAAGCATCCCCTGTGGAACTGCCTTCTGCAGCACTTCAAGGAACGACACTGTCTCGTCGAAGGACCCTTGTCCAACCTTCAAGAGTCTTTGATCCAATTCAGCCGTCCCAAGCAAGCCTACAGAGGCCCCCAGCGCTTCCAGATGTCTTTCAGCCAGGCTAGCAATGCCCCCAACAGCGCTGTCAATGGGCGCAACGGCCATCGCAATGAGTATCATGACTCTGGATCTGTGGTCGGCTATATCCCCGACGATGTGTCTTCAGTTCACTCATCTGCTCTTGGTGGCGTTGGTCTTCCCTCTGGTTACCCGCCTATGTTCCAAAACTTCGGCGATGGCTGGCCTTCCGTCTCTGGTGGTCGCCGTGCAAACGGTGGCCGAGCGAAGGGGGCTCCAAGTGTGGCTGGAGAGTCCGTCGCTGCCACTGAGTCCGACGTCACCAGCAGCATTGTTGATGGACGTAGCGTTGACCAAGGCGGTGTCAGCCTCGCTGGCCTCAGCATCAACGACATGAACAAGCAGCCCAGTTTGAGCCAATCTGACCGTCTGAAGCGCTATGTGGAGTCTGGTGGACGCGAGCCTTACAGAGCTGGAGTTCCCGACAATGGAAGCATCTTCGGAGGTAGCTCAGCCAGCATTCGCGTGACCCGCGGTGCACCCGGTCAGAACATTCACGATGACGATGACGCTCGCAGTGTCTCCACTGCTTTCGCCAGCCAGGTCGGCGGTAACTACGACTGAGTGAACACCCTCGTATAAAATACGTCTCAGGGCAATCTCCAACAGATTCATTCTCCTATCACTCGGAGAAACAATGTCCGCAATAGCTACCAGGGTTCTTTCCAACAGAGTCTGCCCGCCAGTTTCTTCCATGCCGATCAGAACTTTGGATCGGTGAAACCAGGACTTTTCGGATGCTCATTCTTGGCTTCGCTTAACTGCCAGAAGAGCACCGGTACGTCGGTCGAAGGACAGCCCTGGGTCTGATCCCTCGTCATTGCCACCTCAGTATTCCTACAGAGCGTGACTTTCAGACGGATACGACGATGATCGCCCAGTATTTTTCTGTTCAAGAAATTTACAAGCGTCTCACCCGTCGATTTTCGATGCTCAGTTCAGATAGCCCCGGTAGCAATTACCGGGCGACTCTGCGAATGTTTCCCTGCCCCTTGGCCTTGATTCATACTTGCCACAGTAACTCTATCGCTAAGACTGTCAGGTATCTAGCTCAAACAAAATCAATGCCAATTATCATCCCAATCGTACTCGTATACGTAGATATGAAATCCAATATTTTTACCTCTAATTATCAAAGTACCAAGTGATTCATCGGCTATATAATTTACTCGGTATTCTTAGGGCTAATCCGTTGCCCCGCTTTGGTCCCTTCAGCCCCCTCATACCTCAACATCAAGTCCTGGAATCTCCAAATCAGCCAGCCCGATCAGCCAAGATGGAGACCTCGATGATTTCAATCGGGACACACCGGCTCTCCTACTCAATCACTGGTACCCCGCGAGGCCCCGATGATCCTCTAGTGGTAATCATCCCAGGATCAGGCGATGTCGCCTCCAGCTACACAGCTCTAGAACCACTAGTATCCCAATTCGCCCAAATACTCCTATACGACCGCTCAGGTCTAGGAAAAAGCGAAAGCGGACCGAATCGCATCACGGGAGTTGCATCCGCAATAGAATTACACAGCCTTCTCCAAGCAACTCAACAACAAGGTCCAATAATCCTAGCCGCCCATTCCTACGGTGGTCTCGTCGCAAGAGAATATCTACATCTCCACCCAGAAAGAGTCTGTGGAATGGTTCTCTTCGAAACCGCAACCGAGAACAACCTCGATTTCTTCCAAGTCCCGGATCCGAATATTGCCGCCGTACTAGGTGACCTCAAGTTATCCCAGATCACAGGCTTGCGAGCAGACTCAGTTCTAACCCGAGATCAATGGCGGCAAAGGGCTATGGAGATGGCGCGTGGTGCTGTTACCGGAGAGGCAGAAGCAAATTCTGCTGTGGAAGTTTGCCAGACACTTGGCGAGAAGAAGCAGTTTGAACGACAGGCTTTAGGTGATAAGCCTTTGAGCGTGATACTTTGCAAAAGTGTGACGGAGTATGAACGGATCTTTGAGAAGGGCGTCGAAGCGGGTAATGGGACGACAGCGCAGCAGAGGACGTTTCGGAAATTGTTGGATGGGTGGGAGGTAGCTGCAAGGAGGCTAAGTGAGGAACAGTTGCGGCTTTCTTCGAGAACTCATTTTGTTTATTTGCCAGACTGTGGGCATAATGTTCATCTTATCAGACCTGATGTTGTGGCTGAGGAGATTCGGTGGGTGCTTGATATGCTACGGGACAGAGGTGTTCAGAAGCTTTAAATTTTATCTAGGGCTACCTCGGCATTTTCACCCAGTTGATTTTGTGCGTCAGATAATGCGTCCATGTGCCTACCTGGTGCAAGACCCAAACTTCAAGGAGCGTATACCACTGTCCGTCTCTCGGCATTCGAACACCCCCAAATGGTAGTCTTCTCGTGACCTGGGTTCCGGATCTTTAATACCTATTACCAAGGAGGTCTGCGCTGGGTAAGGAAAAGTTTACATCGAGCAATTCTCTTCATCTAACGAAATCACGTTGTATTTCCTTCCTCCCGAGGTCTGATGTGAATCCGTTCATCCTCTCAATTGATATTCTTTCTTGTTGATGTAAGTGCAAGAACACCACAAGGTCTATCACAGAAGCAATCAATATATTGTTTCTTCCAAGTAATATTCATAACTTTGTTCTGGAACTCATTCATCATCTTCATATCCTCCGCCGCCATCGTAAACAGGAACCTTCCCTAGACCAACTGACGGACAAATCTCATGCATGGAGAAGCAAGTGAGTTGACGAGCCGCTAGGTCATAGAGACTATCAATTTGTACTCTCATGAATCCCCGATAGAGGTTGGCGCAATAGCTATTACTCTCCGAATAGCTAGGATCAATTATTCCCACGAACCCCATCCTACTAACCATGCCCATCGTACTCCCACCCCTCTGAACCTCAGGGTTATCGTAAGCCCGCATAATCGATTGCAAGCAGTTTCTGTCAATAACAAGACATGCCGTAAACCGAGGTACATCATCTCCGACTTCAACCCCTAATGATTCTAAATGTGCGTTGAACTCTGCACGGATCTGGTCCGATGACGCCCCGTCCCAGCGCTCTCGATCTTCAAGAATGACGCTCTTATATGTCTCCTTAATAATAGTTTCGGGGAAAGGGTCTTAGCCCGCGTACCGCTTTCCATCGATGTGATCGATCTCCCAATGGATATAACGGGTAATCTTATCGAGACAAAAGGTCCACACTTCATCTGATTCAGGGGTATAGACAGTGCGATAAATAATAAAACCCCAAGGCCACTTAAAGTTGCCTATAAAGTTCACCGATGTACGATCATCGTCTTTCCACCAGGGCTGCTGAATCCAGCGTGCTCGGCGTTCATCGTGAGAATCATAAACTCCGGATGAGTCCAGCGTTCAGGCCAAGAAGGGTGGTGGAATGACTCGTCGTCCGAGGACGAGTCATTCGCTATGGAAACATCTGGTTGAGACATGGTGATAATTGGTGTGCACAGGGGTGCAATGAGGAAGTTGAGTGAAGTGAGACAAATATTTGGGAAGAAATGAAGGGCGTAGACAAGTGTCTTGGCAAAATTCCTAGACAATTTAAAGAGGTGATTTCGATCCGCTCTGTAAGCGAGACTTGTAGTCCCTTGTATTGAGTTACCAGAGTAGGACTAGTGGCGACTGAGTGTGGATATCGTGGGGAATTTGGCGTTGGATTCTACAAAGCACAAACCTGACGATTCAAAGATATAACTTATACCAAGTACCAAATCTTGTATATTCGTGGGACAAGTCTATTGAGAGTTATCCTCAAGCGTTAATCGAAGTCCGTGCCGACAATTGATCTCCAACGTGCTTGTATTTGGCTGTTGCTGACGTACCCATTTCACAGCCTTGGAGCTTATTCTGACCACACCTCATCTTCTTTTACTCGCCTCGATCGATCGGCCAGACTTGGGCTTCTCATTACGCCAACATATTTCTCGACCAAATTTGGCTCTTTGATACGATGTCATCCCTGACTCAAGGGGACGTGCAACAGAGTGAAAGCGTGGCAAAGGAGAAACGAAAACCCGTCCGTCGCGATCCGGAGAAGAGACGACAACAGAATATCAAGGCTCAGAAAAAATATCGTGAGCTTACGCTTGGTAGTCTCTGAGAGTTCGAGTACTGATTATTTGCTTAGGGGAAAAGCTTCGTGAGCGCCTAAACCATCTCGAGGCACTCGAAGCCTCGCAACGTGGTTCTGTTGAAGAAATACTAGCTGTGAGCACAGCTACATCTCAAGCGACTATAACTGAGGGATCATATATCACTACACAAGACCCATCAATTTATGATACTTCAGTCATATACGCTCCCAGTCTAACCTCAGGGACTCAGGATTTCCATCACATTGTCCCACATTTCGAGGATAACTGGTCAGCATTGAGTACGTGGGACTCCACGGCAACTATTTCACAGTCCGACGGCACCTCAACAGTGCCAAGCATATGGGGATCTGCAACACATACCTTACAATCAGAGAACAATACACCACCATCACTAAGTCCATGGGACACCACAGCACTCTTTTTACGGTCATTCGGCACCCAATCTACAACGGGAGTGTCGGATCCCATAGCCATAACCCACGTCGATCCTTCAGTTGTGATGTGCGAAAAACACAATGACAGCTCAGACCCATACTGGACAACGAACATAGATTGTGGCTGCTCTATTCCACACATCCAAATACGAACACAAGGCCCGGATCCATTTACCCTGAGAGGTTTCCGACTTTTGAGTTTCACACCGACTGCACGTATAGCAGATCCATATGTCAATACCCTTCGGCTCGAAACGGTGTGCACAATCGCAGCATTGTTCAATCTGGGGATGCATATTGGTATTACCCAGGAGATGATATGTGCTGAAGATTGTCGCTCGCCGTTTTACCGCTCCGGCGCGAAGTCTGATCATCCCATTGAAGCAAATACCATTGGCACGGTGAAGGGAATCTTCAAGGCGCTGAAGCCGGATCTGAGACCCAGCAGTGAGCAGATTACCGTCGAGCACCATCCATATATTGATATTCTCCCCTTTCCGACATTGAGGAAGAACCTCATCAGGCACCAACATCTAGAAGAATTTGACGAGGATCAGTTCTTTCTCGATCTTCTGACTGGCTTGGTATGCTGGGGAGGGGCAGGCGTGGGGAGGAGGGATCGAGATCAGTCCACTGGGTTTGCTTCGACAGGTACACCGTGGGATGTCCGCAGTTGGGAAGCTAAAGTGTGGTTTTTGAAGAAGTATTGGACACTGCTAGGTGGAGAAGATGGAGAGCTTGTCCGGCAAAGTGAGTGGTGGCGTGGTATTCGAGGGGAGGACACGCCGACGGAAATTGAAAGCGTATAGCAAGACGAATATTTGGTGTCAGGCAAATCACTCAGTTAGTGAGTCTTACTCTTCAGACCAAAACATTTATAATTTACTTCGACTTTTTCTTGGTCAAAATCACCTTTCTTTCGCCTTTTGACAAAGCCTTGGTGTTCAGCATCGTTTAGACCTCATCCAAAACAAGGATGGAAACTTGGTATAAGCTAGGAATCGAGTTCGAAAACCTACTCACAGCTGATGAATTTCCCCGCCTTGGGCAAGGTGACGAACTGCCTTTTTCTCGATATCTGCATAATCTATTTTGAATATGCTATTGATGTCCTTCCCCAATGGCTCGACGAGACACCCCGGCTGCTCCATCCACGGAATAGCTGGGTGAGTGCATCTCTTGAAGAAAACTCATTGACTGAGTGTTGGGATTGCATCCGTGAATGTAAAACCACTGATAATCTCGTTCAGGTCAAGAACAACAGTTTCAAATACTCTGCTTGGAAATTTTGTCCTCTCTTGAGTTTCCGAGGAGGCCGCTGCAATGCCAAACGGACTATCGAGTTCCGAAGAGCGCCATGGATAACAAGAGCAGATGGGTGTTTGGCATGGGTGGAGTTTGTTGTTTCTTTTATTCATGCCTCCATTTTTCCCAAGGCGAAGTTGGGTCGTTACATGCTTCGTGAATACAAGCTGGGGGTCAGTGGCTTGTTTCAGTACATCACGAGCGTTCCGCTTCCTGGCTGCAATCGCGGGAGTTTGGAAAGGCTTTTGCGGGGAGGCGTGGATCGGTGATTCCTGTGACCCCGTATGATACATGAGAGTGGAATTCCCGTGGCAAGAAAAGTACCAGGTCTTAGACGGGATTACTAGATGAACGAAAAAGGAAGATGAACCTAAACTGATAGAGAGATAGAGAATCAAATATTATCCGCGATAATATCCAAAAGAAGTAATAATACGCTATGAAGCTAGTATACAAAGCTTTTGAAAATAGTCCAATACAGCATACAGGGCACATACCCAGCCACACCACAACTAATGACACGCTTTCCCATACTTTCTCAAACGCAGATAGTTATAAGGCAAAGGCGCCAAATACCCAGCCCCCATCGAGACAACGGCGGCCAACCAGAACTTCGGATCGCCAAAAGCAACCAATCCACCCGTCAAATGATAATCGACAGCATTTTCCGCAATCTCCATGGCCAACATCGAAACCATGCTCATACCCATAGCAGTACGAGTAGCCCTTACCCAAGGAAGCTGGTCAGCCCCACGATGGAGCAGGACTGTCTCGAGGATGATGGAAGTCGTGATACCAGACGCCACTGAGTCGATTGTTAGCAGGGGTCACATTATAAGCGGAATATCTGGATATAGCGAAGGGGGCTCACTCGACATGGCCATGATGCTGCTCATGCCCAGTTCTGGGTAGTAGGTTTGAAGAATCCATAATGCAGCGAAATCGCCAGTTGTACAACCTACCAGACAGCGGAGAGTGTTGATTCCTGCTCGGCGCCAAGTAGATTTGCAGGTCCAGAATGGGAGACGGAGTGTTGACAGGGGGGTTGATGAGGGGTTTGTAATAGGGCTCTGGCTTTTGCAGGTCTTTCCTTCCTGCGGAACATTCGAAGAAGGCTCTTTATGACAAGCTCGTGTAGGACGGATGCTGCTGAAGGGGCGTAGAGCGGCCCAACAAACCCCGGGGCTGCGTACGGTGAAGCGCGAGTGGCGTATTGGATTCATGTTGCGGAAGATTCAAAGATCTATGCACTTTCAAGCAATGGTTTATACAAAACTCGTCGAGACAGAATGAAGCCGTGCTAGGTGGAAAGAGTGGAGCTTGGTTCTGGGCCTGTAGCACAAATGCCGCATTCAAATAATCAGATATGGCATTCCTCGTACAAATATCCCAGTGTGAGTGGAAGTTGAACTCTGGAGCTTAATGATGTTGCAATCGGTGAATCAAAACATGCGAGTTACTATACAATGTGAAGACAGAGTACAAAATGCGAGTTCACCCTTGGACGGCTATCGAGTGGGGCGGGAAGACTAACATCCCATCTCACCCAACAGCGCCATTCACGCATTTAGTACGCTTGGCGTGGGTTCTTTTGCCAAACAGGCTCGGTCTCATGATGGAACATATTGGATGGCTGAGTTTTATGCTTCGTCATGCCGGGCAGTGTACAAAGCAATTTCTTGGAAAAGGAATATCCTACTACATTGTACATGAAACTAGAGATTCTCAAAATAGATAAGCATGAATATAGGGCCTGGTCAAGGCGCTGACATGCAGATCTTGATGCCCAGCCGGAGGCAGTGTTTATTAGGCAGTACTATTCTTCACGACGCACATCCCCCGCTTAGCCAAGAGGGTCTATAGACTCCGCAAGGGATTTTGTAACAGAGTTAGTAGTTTGCATCCGATTCTGAGATGAGCTGCTCTACATTCTATAGGTGCTTCTTCCTTTTAATTGGGTTTCTCGGTGTCTTCTCTGTCTTTTTTTCTGAACTTGGTAACGTTGAGTGTGTTGTTGTCAGAGCTGCAAGATTCAATCTTTTGATTCTCTGGCATAGCCATGATAGCCACGCAATCATTATTCTTTTGCCATCAGAACAACGCCGAATGTTCTGTTCCAATTGTCATCAAGGTCTGCATAGCCGGGTTGACGAGAACGGGCTCTCACTGGATCGCTTCCTGAACATTGCAATGTAAGTGCCTTTTTATAGAAACGCTAGCTGCGTGTACTCGAAAACGAGCCTATTGATCCTTTAAATATTAGATTGTTGCAGCCTAACATCGGGCATAGTGAAGATCCATTGCAGCGCACTGCCCGATGCAGACCGCTTATATAAGAGTCACGTGTACTCACCGCCACACGCCACGATTGCTTCCGATGTTCGAATGTTCCACCAAGCCTTGGGAGTTCGGATGTGAGTGGCGATCCCTGACAGCCGGATGGCTGCCTGACAGGCCCAGGGCTTGATACCTAAACCGGATCCGCCGACTCGGACAACAGGATTGGTAGTAACTATGAGTCACTGCTTGCTAAGCGCCACTGTAGACGTGGGATATCTCCGGCCAAGGGCCGAACAAGGGATTAATAGAAAGGGATTATCCAAGTATCCTGCATATATATATAAGCTCTGGCCAGTGATGATATGTACTTCAGCTGTTCGGCATCTCCGCTACGAAAAAAACAGACAAGATCAAGATCGGCTGCGCCACAGTGGCGTCCGAAAGCACCTGACGCAACCGACCAACGTATAAATAGCCTGACGGATGCCTTGCTACCTGAAAATTTTGGCAACTCCCCATCCTCTGATATACATCCATACCTCGCCCTCTTTCTACCAATTTATTTCAGACCTTTCATAAACAAATCTTCGCACTTTCTTCTTGTCTCAACCATTCAGTCTCTCTGATTTTGTGGTTGTGAATTAAGACGCGTCTTTCCGGTATCTCTCTCAGTGGTGTGGGGTCAACTTCGCGATATGGGCGACGGCTCTGACTATCCTAGTCCAAGAAGTGAGGGTCCTAACGGAGCTCTTGCTGCTTCCATCCTTGCCTCTGCCTCTGAACAATCTCCTCCATCCGCCAGAATGTCTACCCACCACAGATCAAACGACTACGCAATTGCCAAAGTACACAACGAAGGGGGCATGAGCTACCTCGACGCCACGCGCCCACGTCTCTCTGTCCGACGCGCTCGCGATCCCCCCAAAAACTCCGAGGGTCAGATCTTTTGCGACCACCTCGATTGTCAAGCTGCTCCCCCGACGTTCCGCCGTCCTTGTGAATGGAAGTAAGTACAACTCTAGTTTCGTCTCTTGGCGCGTCAAATACTAACTCGGTTGTAGTAAACACATGGACAAGCACGATCGCCCCTACAAATGTTATGAGCCTAACTGCGACAAGATTCAAGGCTTCACATACTCCGGCGGCTTACTACGTCACCAGCGCGAGGTGCACAAGAAGAACACCGATGCCAAGAAGGCCTTGATGTGCCCATACAACGATTGCAACCGCAGCACTGGCAATGGATTCACACGCCAGGAGAACCTGCGCGAGCATCTTCGCCGCCGCCACATGCACAGTGACGAAAACGCCCCGCTTGTCGTGGACATGCCTTGGGACCGCGCAACAGAGCTGGAGGGCGTCGAGGGTGTCGAGGGTGTCCGTGCCCCATCTCTCCCTGTGACTGGTATGAAGCGCCGACACGATTCTCACGACGGTAATCTTCCCGAGACGGACGAGAACGGCACCGATCTCCACCATGAAGTGAAGCGCCTGCGCCGTGAGGTCGAAGAGAAGGATCGCCGCCTGGAGGAGCTGGAGCGAATCGTTGCCGGCCTTCAGCAGGCTATCCCCCAGCAGCCCCCGACTGAGCCCGACCTGCAGCCTCTTTCTCAGCCTCTTTCTCAGCCCACTCCTCAGGCCGCCCCTCCTGTCTAAGCTTGCCCCTTACGGTTCAGACAGTCTACGGGTCGATTTGCATCATGTGGGTGTTTATTGAAGCAAGCAATAACGGGCTTCAAAATAATTTTCTTCTGTTTTTCTTGATATGTGTAGCATTTGGGTTTGGTTTTTCTGGCTCTCCCAGATTGAAGTGTTTGCAAAGGGTCAACTGACCTTTCCTTGTGGCGTTTAACTTGAGTGACGAGTTCATATGGGCCAGGCGGTGTTGTCTTCAGAGGTGGTTTACAGCTTTGTCTCGCCTCATATACCCGGGTATTTGTTTCAATGTATCTTTTATTCTTTCGTTTTATGTTTTACCCATATTGCTTACCCTAGTGTTTTCATACAATCTCCTTAGCTACACTATTGTTTCTCGTAAACACCTGTAGTAAAATTGTCCCCACTCTACTAGGCACTTCCATCTCTGCATCAGGATCCGGGGGTCATACGACGTGACACATGAACTGAACATTAACGACTTCGAGGCATCAAATCTCAGCTCAACAACCGTAGTACAAGGCAGCCAATAACGTAGCACAAGAAGTCGATTCCTCAGGCGCCCAGGCGCCCATCGTATATCTCCAGGCAAACGTTCAGCCACCCCATCGGACCCCTTACCTCGTGGATACCCACGAGGCCCTCACGAGGGCCTTTGACGGGTGCACGGTCATCTCAGAGTGAGATATAGCCCCACTGACATCCACATCGGCATCTAGATGCCCGGCGTTAGGAGACAAGGCCGCTGTTAGGCGGTCGTTCACGGAGCTTGCGGTCTCCCGGCGGCTCACGAGGCACCACATCCAGTCATAGTCATGCCCTCGGGCAGTGGCACTTGAGCCTAGCATGACTCTTTCGCTAAGGTGACAACGCTAGGCTGTGACTCATTATCGCTTGTGTCGTGGCATGCTTGACTCGATGTGAGGCTGATCAACGCGCTGTAACCTGACTAGCTTGTTGGTGTCATGGATATGAGATGTGAGTTTGTCTTTTGTCATTGAGAGTTCAAAGAAAGATCCTATTCTCTGAGTCGACAGTGTAGAGCTCTGTATGCGGAAGTGTAGCCGAGAGGCCGCATCCGATAAGATGTCTTACCTAATCATCACGTTGATCCAGCCTCTCGTTTGCTTTGAAGACAATCCTTGTAGCTTCAACCAAAGGAATTCTGAATAAAGGGGTTTGAAGGGCTTCCGCTTGGGACTGCGGGGGATTTGGACGCACTACGACTCGGGCAATGGTCAGTTGCCCTCAACTCAACATCCGCAACCAACCACCAGACTTCATAGCTCGCTCGCTATATGGCATCAACACTCAACATCTTACAAGTTATAGCCCGAGTGAAGGCAAAGGAGCCCTTGCTTTCAGTTTCAGACCTCTCTTCGTGAACTCAGAGCATATTCCATCATCTGCTGAGCCACCAACACGGCAAGACGTGAAACGAGGTCCAACATTTACATCACCTCATAGGCCGCAGCGCCAACCGCGGCTCCATGGTCGGAATCTCACAAGGCACCATGCCTACTAGCAACTCATATAGGGAAGTCCCAATGTCACAAATGGACCAATCCCACTATATTCGCACGCAAGAATACACATCTACCCCGCGGTATCCGAGCACCAGCTCCCCCGCGTTAAGCAACTTCTACGGATCCAGCGGCGCGGGGGAGACAGACACAGTAATCGTGGACACAAAGTCGCTAGACCGATCAACGCACGAATTCGCCGAAGGCGAGTTCGTCTGCACGAACTTCTTCAACCGCGTCAATCTAGGCGGGTTCACGCGCCGCTTCAACTCCCTCCAATGGAGCTACGAAATGCGCCGGCAGGCGCAGTCCATTCTGCCTTTCTTATCTCTGGGTCCTTCTTCGTGTTTACGGGACCGCGATTACATCCGCAGTCAGGGATTCACGTTACTTCTCGCTATCCGGAATAAGCATTCGGCCCAGGCGCGTCTTGTTTCTGGTGATAAGGCTGCTGCAGAGGTAGGCATCATGGCGGATACGATTGACGTGCTCGATAATCAAGAGTTGATCTCTGCTTTTCCACGTGCTATCCGCCGCATCAATGATCACCTCGCTGGCACAGATACGGATCCTAACTCCATGGCCTCAGAAGACCATCATAAGAGGAAGGTATTGGTGTTCTGTGAATCGGGGAATGAACGTTCAGCCGGTGTTGTCATCGCCTACATCATGGTCATGCTCAATGTCGACGTTGTCGAAGCTATCCACATGATCCAGCAGCGTCGGTTCTGTTCTTCGATCGAGGATCCGATGAAGCGTATCCTGGAGGCCTTTGGCTCGATTTTATCTGCGAAGCGTGATGTCGAGCGGTCTAGGCATGTTGCTGCTCCGCGTGGAGCTGCAACTCTGGCGCCTCCGTCTCCGCCGCAGGTTCTTACGAAGAAGAGGAGTTTCCAGGATCATAGAGATGATGGCCTTGCTCTTGGGGATGGGGAGATGGATGTTGATCAGGAGGATGCTTGGTTTTCTGAGCGGAAGCCGAATGCTCCATTCCAAGACCGCATTGTGTGAGGGGTTGCCCTCGGGTACTCGAGGACATTGATTGTTTACTGGGTGTTGAATGACGGCGTCTTTGCTCTGTTTCTAAGCCAGGAGGACAGAGGCGCTCGGGACCTCTATTGCTGTAAGACTAGCTGAGCCGTGGGTATATTAACCACATTGCTTAGATGGTCTGGCTATATCTTTATTTATGCTTTATTGCTTCATGTCCCTTTCATGCAAATACCCAGCTGCAAATGACCATTGTTATTCTATTGTCTTCAGGTAAAATTTCATTGAAATGGTGTCCATCAGCCACAGGAGTTTGTATCCTCATCCATATAACCTGTATATCAGTATGTGTCTCGATCTATGGCCAAGACGAAAGACGCGGTCAATATCTAAGTCAGTCAAGTATCACGGTGCGCATATGCAGGTTAGTCAGTTCAAACACCCGTCTGGACTTGACCTCAGATACAACCACCGTTGCCTACCATATATTTCCTCTTTCAGACGGGACTTCGCGCTGTCTTCAAATCTCTCGAGGCAAACACTTCCTACGCATTTGTCTCCACCCCACGCCCCATCTCCTTCCCCCCACGCGTAGCCCTATCTCCATCACTTTCAGGCCTCATGCTCAGTTGCTTTCGCATATGACATGAGGCGCATCAGTGCCATCGTAAGTTCCCACCTTTGCGATTGACATCTCTGCGATTGAAAGCCTGACAATCCGAAGTTGCGCAAAGGCCTTCGTGAAAACTGATACAGATTAACCTGACTTTCTCACCTGAAATCCAAACGTTACCACATGCTCACTTCAAAATGAGTGGGATGAAGCTGCGCGACAGCATTCGCGCGCCAGTTCGCTATGGCGATGGCGAAGCCCCGGAGATCCCAACGGCTCGTAACGTGCTGCACATAGGACTCGACGATGGTGATGATGATAACGTGGAACTGAGTGACTCGGGCAGACCGCGTCCACAAACGAAGCGCAACTCAACCACAAAGCCCTTCGACCCCAACATGCCGCCTGCTGCGTTCCCTTCACTTGACAGGCCCCATGCGAACCCACAAGTCCGTCGACTCATCATCAAAATGCCTCAACCACGACGTCACAGTGGTACTGACCTCCCTCCTCCTGCTGCTGCTGCGCCTCAACAGAAACGGAGAGTGACATGGTGTCCCACTACGGTGGATATGGTCCCAATGGATAACCTTGAAAACCATGTCGCCAGCAACAACGATTCGAACCCGGTTTATGTGCGCAACATGGCGATTATGGCTGGTGCAGCCTTGAAGGACCCGTTTGATACTAGCGACGAGGACGAGGACACTGCCATGAGCGACAATGAGAACTTACCTGATCCCACACAGGTACTCCTCAGCAAGGTAAAAGTTTGCGGCTTGTAATGAGATTGACGGAGACTGATGTCAGTGGGGTGATGTTAGATCCCGAACCCAAAATGGAGCGAGTTGAACAATGCACTGCAGGTGGAGATAGTGGACAGGGCGATGAAGACCATGACCTGGAGGACAGTCTGCACCAAGCTCGAGCTGGGACCGGAAGATCGCCAGAAACTTGCAGAATACATGGATACCCGAAACAAGCAAATCGAAAGAGAGAACAAGCGGCTGGAGGAAATGCGGAACAAACAACGCGTGGCGTTGATGAATATTGACAACAGCGACATCAAGATATTCGCTCCACCGCCTCAGCTAGTGCTGCAACGGATAATGCGACAGGCTACGCGAGAGTCACTATTGGATCGGACCATGTACACGGATCTGATGCTGTGCACATCTGGGGATGTTTTGGCAGCCAGACAGTATCTGCATCAACATGGACTTCCTCGCAACTGGGCCGGCGACTGGGGCGATGGCATGATCGAGCTGCGAGAATCCGCAGTCGACTCCCAGGACCCAGATCAATTCGAATGGAAAGACGAACTGAAAGTGACCCCGCCCTTCGACACTGACAAGCGCCGCGTTAACCCAGCAGTGCAGGCTAGAACCGACTTCATCCACGATGTTGGCCTGAGCGGGAGTGGGATCATCGACCCCAGGGCGCTGACACGACACAGTGCTGACCCAAAGCCTATCCAGGACTGGGGTAAATACTCCGGCCACTGTTATCCAGACCCAGCGGACCCAACGGGAATGGACCTGGATTCGAGTCGGACAAACCCTCGACGCCCAGGAATCGTCAAGTTGAAGGTCGGTCGGCAGAGGGCGGCACAGATCCAGCAATACGAGAGAACAGGCACCAAACCCTATGGGTGGCCTGCGTATGGGCCAAGACCATCGCCCATCACTCTTTCCGCGGAAATCGAAACTCCAACCAGGGTGCGTCACAATCCTCTTGGACCTCAGTTCAGCCCCTGGCCCAATACACCGGGTATTCAGCAACACAGTACCCAATACGCGCCTCAACCTCCCACTTCCTTCAGACACAGAATCCCTACCGTCCAAGAGAACAGTCCCTTTAGCAGATCCCTTGGAGGAAACTGGTTCTTCAGAGACCTCGGCTATGCAGAAAGCCAAGCGAGATTCAAACAACGCATGCAGCAAGCACATCTTAGCATGACAGAAAGACAGGGACGCGCTCAAGCCCAGCAATACGACTTCCAACCCAAACCACGCGTTTCGGGCGTTAGCGCTGGAGGCATTCCATACCGACGCACACAGCCCTACGCAGCAGTGCAGAACATTGCAAACGCCCAGGCAATGGTTTCTCGGGCAGTTCCGCAGACCTATCAGTATGACGCTTTCTGGTATGAGCACCAGAGGGCGAGGGCCATAGGTAACGGAAGCGGCGCGATGGACGAGTTTGTTTACAGTGGTCCGATCATCATGCCCGAGGAGGAGGAGGAAGAGGAGGACCCTAGCTTGGCTGATCTGAGCTTGAGCTCTCATACGGAGGCCTCCATTGATGAGATGATGATGGTGTCCACTGATTCATGTTCCCCTTCGCAGTAGAGGGTGGATTCGGATGCGGAATGATTTGAATGATATGGACAATCTTGTCCCCATGTAAGATTAGTTGTGTGTATGAGTAGATGGTTTTTCAAAGAGAGAGAACTTTACAAGTTGCCAGTGCATGTAATTTAGTTGTAGTTGCTCAAGTCAATAGTCAACCTTAATATAAACCTGGTCCGTGCGTCAAACGCGAAAATGCCGCGTTTGAAGGCGGCTGAGTATGCATTGCATTTTCGCCGCACGCTCGTTTGTATCGTTTGAAGTATAGGATTTCTGACTGGGTTTTGGGAAAAAATCGCGAAATTGGGTGTTCGATTCTATTAGCTCTCTCCGCGCCCACGCGAACCACTTTCCTCGCAACCGCTTTGCCCCTTCGCAGTACTCTGTACATGACGTACTTTCACAACCATCGCGATACCTTACACTGCCCATCCTCCATTGATACATCTACTCGATGATATTTGTCCGATACCATCTTTGCGGTTTGCGATGAGTACCTCCTTGACCCCCACCGATTCCCGTGCGGGCACAATGCAACCCGAGTCAACCGTCCCATCGTCCCCCATGACGAGTGCGACGGACGCGGACGAGATTAATCCTCCCAAAGAAGAGGAGGGCCATCAAAAGGAAGAAATGACCGATGGCGAAGATGAGGAGCTGGATAGCAAGGCGAAGGCGTTGATGCACTTGCTGAAGACCAGTTCAGTACGTTGTCCACTGACGCACTCCTGGACGTGACATATTGCAGCCAATCTAACATCGTGTCTTTTCTGCAGGTCTTCGTCGCAATTATGTCGGATAAGATGAAAAAACAGCAGGAAGAGGCTCGCTTGGCTGCAACCAAACAGCGTGAGCAACCCGCAGAAGATAAAAAGAAAGCGAAGGCTGCCCCCGAGCCTCAGCGACGAGCCACACGCACCCGTGCGAACCAGGATTCCACTCCTAAGGGAAAGCCCGCAAGCGACGGAGACAACGGAAAGAAGACAGAGGCGAAACGTGGTCGGCCCAAGCGGGCATCTGCTGCAAATGGCAGCTCGATCTCGAATTACTTCAAGAAAGCCGATGTGGAAGTCACTGAAGACAATCCATCTGTCCAGCAGGCTCTCGAGAAAGCTGCGAATGAATTTGAAGCAAAGCCTACTGCTCTGGGTGAACAAGAGTTGGTTGCTACACAGCAGCCTGGGCTCGTGACTGGTGGCACAATGCGCAAGTACCAACTTGAAGGGTTGGAGTGGCTTAAGTCGTTGTGGATGAACGGACTGTGCGGCATCCTTGCTGATGAGATGGGCCTTGGAAAGACAGTCCAGGCCATTTCCATGATTGCTTTCTTGAAAGAGAAGGAGGTCTCAGGGCCTTTCCTGATCGCCGCGCCATTGAGTACCTTGAGCAACTGGGTTGATGAATTCGCAAGGTGGACTCCAGACATTGAGACGGTTCTTTACCACGGTACCAAGGAAGAGCGAGCCGTCCTTCGAGAACAGCAAATGAAGGTCAAGAATCAGGCGACGATGAACTTCCCTGTTATTTGCACATCATACGATATCTGTATCAATGATCGCAAGTTCCTGTCACAGTACCAATGGCGGTACATTGTTGTTGTATGTTTGTTCGAATGACCCGCACCTTCAAGATGCTAATTGATCTATAGGATGAGGGCCACCGCCTCAAGAATATGGACTGCAAACTGATGCAGGAACTCATGACATACAATTCTGCCAACCGACTGCTCATCACAGGAACCCCCCTGCAGAACAATATTTCCGAATTGTGGTCCCTACTTCACTTCCTTCTGCCTGAACTGTTTAATGACCTTCGCTCTTTCGAGACTTGGTTTGACTTCTCTTCAGTCTTGGACAAGAAGGGTGAGACCGACGATGTTGTCGAGAAAAGGAAGCGCAAACTGGTGTCCAGTATGCATGCAATTTTAAAGCCATTCTTACTTCGGCGTCTCAAGACGGATGTCGAGACATCCCTACCTAAGAAGCGGGAGTACATCCTGTACGCCCCTCTCACCTCCGAGCAGAAGGATCTCTACCGAGAGATCATTACTGGAACTGGGCGCAAGTACCTTGAAGACAAGGCCCTAGAACGTTTGACCAGCAAGAGCGCTAGCTCCACGCGCTCTCAAAGTCTGAAGCGCAAGAGAAGTGGCAGTGAAGAAAGCACTCCATTTAAGAGCATGAAGTCCAGCGAGACTTCCACGCCTGCTCCTGATGGCCCTATCTCCAGCCGAAGCCGTCACCGTCGCGGTAAGCGCCACGAGTACAAAGAGCTCACTGACGGTGAATTCGACGAGACGCTGCGGAAGATGGAGTTGGGACTTGAGGAAGCCCGCGAAGAGGTTCAGCCGAGTGACACTGAGCTCGAGGAGCAGGAACTTGCTCGCAACTTGAAGCTTGCCAGTAAGTCTCGGTTATCAAACATTTGCCCGTTCAATTGCTAATATCGCCTACAGAGAAAGAGATCGGGCAAAAGAAGATGCAGAACCCAGTCCTGCAGGCTCGTCTTGCGTGCAACTCACCCCACAACTTCTACTGGCCCTGGATGGACGAGTCCTCAACGGTGGACGAGACCCTTGTATCAGCGTCCGGCAAGATGCTCCTGCTCGACCGCCTAATCCCCTGCCTCCTCGCGAAGGGTCACAAAATCCTTATTTTTTCGCAATTCAAGACTCAGTTAGATATCATTGAGGAATGGGCCACGGAGCTCCGATCTTGGAAATGCTGCCGCATAGACGGTGCAATCGCCCAAGCAGACCGCCGAGCCCAGATCCAAGATTTCAACACGAAGAATAACCACAAGATCTTCCTACTGAGCACTCGAGCGGGCGGCCAGGGAATTAACTTGACTGCCGCGGATACCGTTATTCTCTTTGACTCGGATTGGAACCCCCAGCAAGACTTACAGGCCCAGGACCGAGCTCATCGTATCGGTCAAACCAAGCCTGTAATAATCTACCGCTTGGCCACCAAGGGTACTGTTGAGCAAACCCTCCTAGAGAAGGCAGATGCAAAGCGTCGCCTGGAACGCCTGGTTATCCAAAAGGGCAAGTTCCGCTCGCTTCTCGATCCCACCGCTACCTCGCAAGATGTCGATGAGCTGCGCCGCGTTCTCGGCGAGAACGAGTTCGAACGGTTCGAAGTCGGCAACGATCCCGAGTCGATTCTCTCTAATGAGGATCTGGAGATTCTCACTGACCGATCTGAGGAGGCTTACGCCCGTGCTGAACAAGGCCTTGACCGTAATGGAGCTGCGTTCGTTGCGGTTGAGACCAAGCGGGACGTTGGGGAGAGCATTCTCTCCTAGGCGTTTGTGGCTGCGGATGGCCAGTTATTGTGGCAATGTACAACATCGTGGCGTGGCGGGTTTTCTATTTGTTATGGAGTAGGATGGGGAGGAGACTTTTGCCTGGATTTGTGAATGGCGTTTGTTCGTGCATGATAGAGTGCATTTGTAAGAGTACATTACATGTATGCATACTGTTCAATACAATGTTTAGATTATTCCAATACACATTTTTGCAATTAGCAAGATGCAAAAGTAATATAATAAAGATCCATTCAGCGCCTGAAGCTCCTCAACAAGGGAATGGCTGTACATGAGAGTTGGAGAACAGAGAAAGCAGGGCAATATGCAGCCAAAAATCCATGGAAAGAAACAATATTAGACCGACGGCATCGCAAGCTCAAACCAAGCAACCGATCACCGCCGAGCCTTCTCATCCTCAATCTGGCTGCGCAGGTCCGAGAGAACATCATGCCGTTGAGACATATGGCTCTTCAACCCCTCAACCTGCTCCCCAACAGTCTTAACATCCTCCCTCAGCCGCTCGAGATCCTGTCCATCCTTTGAACGGCCAGTACCCTCACGCAGCTCGCGCAATTCCCGCTCCTTATATTCCAACAACTGAAGCGCTTCCTTCTTAATAAGAACCCAATTAGGCCGGCCGTCATTCCGCGACCCATTACGTCTCGACTCCGAAGCCTTATTGGCAGAGCTAAGCTTACTCTCCAGCTCCGCCAATTCCCGGCGCAGCCGCACCTTCTCCCATTCCTCGTCTTGGATGGTTTCACTGAAATCCGTCCCCTTGGGCTGGTAAGTACCCTTGCCACCAACCCCCAGCCGGCTTAGGTAAGTGTCACCGAACTTGGCCTTGCGGCCAGTACGTGTCTCAGTGTCGCCATCTGCGCCATAGCGCTGTGCGGGACGGACCTTGTCGACTTGATAGTCGATCTGGTTGTGCTCGAAGGAGGCGCGCAGGGACGCCGGGATGGTGCGCGGGATGCGGAAGCCCTCGTGGCGGTAGTTGAGGATGTGCAGGAAGGCGAGCGTGGCGTCTTTGTTGATTGCGGGAGAGGCGGAGGGGTTAACGAGGTTCCAGGCGGAACGGACGTCCGTGTCGGGGACGTCGAGGGATTCGTAGAGCGGTTGTAGTTGTTGGACTGGGTTTGTTAGGTTAGCCCGATGGGTTCGCTGGGGTTTGTATGGGGGGCTCGCTCACATTCTACTTGGCCGCGGCCGTTCCGGTTGGCGTCGTAGATCTCCGTGTACTTTGTCTTATCATTGGGCTTCATGTACCAGTCGAAGCCGTCCTTCAGGCCCAGTGAATCATCTTCGTCTTCTATCCGCTCGAACTGTTCTTGGCCACTGCTGAGTGCGCGGGTAGCATGGACGAGATGTGACTTGGACTCTGGGACGAGCCAATCTGGAAGGACATTAGGCACTTCTTGTAGTTCCTGTTTGGCGATAAGATGGGTGCGTCAGATTAATCGGGCAATTGGTAAAAGGGGAGGCACGACATACCCCGTTGACTAGGTCGAATACTAAGCGCATTGCAACGCAGAACTCCTCAAAGTCCAGCTCTCCGTCTCCGTCGACATCGGCAATGTCCCAGACCTTCTCGAGCTGGTCATCGCGCAGCCGGCTGTTCCTCAGCACGGAGGCGGCTTGCGAGCTGTTGAGGTGTTTCTGGCCATTTGAGAGTGAGGCAAAGATCTCCCAATAGCGCTCAATCTCCCATTGCTCGATCTTTTTGGCAGACATGGTGAATGGAGCTCCGATGAATAACCGGGGTGGAGGGTGAGGCGGCAACAATGGGGGGAGAGCCGGATTTACCTACTTCCGCCAGGGGCTCTGAGGTCATTGCTATACTTCAGTCTTCAGTGTTGACTACTGTACAGTAAGTCTGCATGATATCTTATTTCTATATTTCTAAGTATAGCACGTGTTCGAATATTTATTTTGTTTTCATTGTATTATGGTACAAGATCTCCCCGGGTATGACAAGAGTTGAGTAGGGGGAATGCTCTAGATATTCTCTTATCCAGACGCAAGTCTATTGATCTTCAGTGAACTGCATGATTAATTCCTTCGCATTATGAGCTCTTCTTCTCATCGTTTTGCTCCGCATTTTTGGCCTTTGCAGCCTCGAGCTGCTCCCTGACCTGGATAATTGCTCGCTCGGCCTCCAACGCGAGCTCTGGCGCCTCTAAGATCGTGGCTAGCTTCTTGGCATCTGACATCTTCAGCAAGATACGATCCTCGCTCTGTTCAATTTCTTCGATGACCTCGGAGTGTGGTGTATCGATCTTGGCACTGTCAAGCGCTCGGGATGCGCGTTTGGCATACAATTGTTCTAACGCGGGGAAAGAGATAGGGTTGAGGAGATTCTTTTCAACGAGGTGTTCGAGGTGTTTTGAGCCATTCAATGCTGCATCTTGTTAGCTTCGCGTCTCAAAATCGACTCGAAGATCAACCAACCGCGCCAATGGGACCAGCCCCGGTAGGCCACATAGAAAAAGGGAATGTTGGGGATCCTGCTGTCTGTCAGTATCTCCTGTCTGTGTTCCATCTGCCTTCACATACACTGGAACCAGTCCAAAGGGTGCGGTAACGGGCGCAAGGAAGAGACTCCACATCATCTTCTTCTTGTGAAGCTCCTGTCTTTCCGTAGCGATAGTGCGCAGCAGACTGGTGATTGTCTCCTGTCGCACTGCGTTCCCCGGGAACAACACATCAATCTTGTTCTCCCCGTGGCTATTATCCAGTCGCTTCTGTGTTTCGAAAGAGGGAATGCTTTTAAGACCCCATTCTTCGTATGGTATCCGTTGCTGGACTCGGTTGCCCCAGGTCACAAGGTGCTTCTTCCACCCTTTTTCAGCTTCCTCCCACTTGGCCCAGGTCTCAGCTGCCTTTGTAGTGACTCGATCGAGGACTGAAAGCTCTTTCGCCATGTCTTTTTGCAGTGGTCGAGCGTAGATGAGGACCCGACTCGTCGAGATCGGGATCAGGAAGAGGCGCATCGCGACGGGGTTTGGCGATAAATGCGCGATCGCAGTTAAGTGTGTAGATGGAATGAATATGAAAAACTCAAGCAGATAGTAGTTCACTGAAGAGCAATGGAATTGTGTGTCGAAACTTTTGTGGGTTAAAGGGATGCGGGAGGTGTAAGCAGGTTTGGAGACGTCATTTCCCTACCCTTTCTCGACTCCCCCAACTTTGACATCGGACATCTTTTGGGGCAATTGGAGCTGGACTCTCAGCACGGGTAGTGATGCGAACCGCTGATTGACGCTTCCCGATCTTCCCGAAAGCTCTCTCCTATACCCGACATGAAGAACGACAGCGCTACAGGGCGTATCTTCAGCGAGAAGTTAGCAGAGAAAATCCCCCGGGCAGTCCCTGAGACATCAACTCCTATACCGGGCCATCTGATCATCGATACCGACTCTGCTGTTCGCAATGGCGGTGATCCACCAACCACATCGGCGCGTATAGACGGCCAGACAGCAGAAGAAGTCGCCCACTCGCAGCGCTCCGCCTTGCGAACTCTACCTGGTAAGCTTTTACTCAATACTTGGATCTGATCACTTGCTAACAATGGGACTGTCTAGCCTGGATTCGATCTGTCGAGATCGAGCAGGACGAAGAAGAAGCTACTGCAACCGACCGTTTACTCCCTTCCCAACCAGGGGACGCATTTGTCGCCCAGCACAACCACTCTCCCTACGCGTCATCCAAACCTCAACGCGCTCGTTCAAATACCAACGGTCTATTCGAAAATGAACCTCTGCCGGCTGAACGTGAGTCCCGCTGGGTGACATTCTCGCGCACCATTCAATACCCCCGGGAGGCAGGCAGAGAGGAAAAACGTGTCTCAGCAGACTGGTTGAACGAAAATCACTGTGATTACTCGCAACCATGGCGCGGTAAGCACCTGGAGGGCGATAGCCCGGAGTATCCGCTACATAGTGGAGGCCGCAGGGAGATTTGGTTCAAGCGCTTCCACAACACACTCCTACGAAGTCCAATAGTACCGATGGTTCTTCGGCTGACTGTTTGGTGCTTCTCGCTCTCTGCGCTGGCTCTAGGTGGTTCAATTCAGCACATGGCTGACAATTTACATCACCCTCAAGGCCCTTCGGCTTTGATGGCAATTATTGTCGACGCGGTCGCTTTAGTTTACCTCGTCTATATCACCTTTGACGAGTATACATCAAAGCCTTTGGGCTTGCGGTCACCCTCGGCCAAAGCACGGCTGATTCTACTTGACATTTTCTTCATCGTCTTTGATTCCGCCAATCTTAGTTTGGCGTTCGCTTCTCTTTCGGAAGTGACGGGCTCCTGTACCGAAGCAGAGGTCAACCAGGAGATCGACCCCCGCAACGATGGGATTTGCGTGCGACAAAAAGCACTCGCATCTGTCCTGCTAATTGCCTTGCTGGCTTGGCTGATGACATTTGCGATAAGTGTTCTCAGGTAAACAACACCCGTATCCCCGGACTGATGTGCTTCACTACTAACACTTGACTAGACTTGTTGAGAGAGTGACACAGTGAAACATGTGTGTTACTGTTCTTGTTTTCTCAAAGTTAACATTTGATTTCTTGCCATATTAGCGATCCTTGCCTTACAAACTTTGCTAGACATGCAGAGCAGGCCCGTCGACACCGTACAGCGGGTCACGTTGGAACCAGGCCACATTATTTATGCTCTGCACCTTCGCTTTCTCGTTTGGTTTCCCATAGCACATATCCCACTGCTTGCCGGGAGGATAGGCGCCGACCATTTGAAACTCCTCCTGGTTCCCATGCAGGTCCTCCAAGAGCCGATGTCCAACTCCCGCAGGAACAATAATCAGATCGCCGCGCTGAACGCTCGGTTCGAATCGCTCGGGATTATCCTCGCCACCAAAGCAAAGACGCGCGCTCCCCGACACGACTCCGAGTACTTCGTGTGTCGTGGAATGGAAATGGGTCTGGCTGTACATGGTATATACCCATTGCGGTATAACTTCAGCCACTTCTTCCAGATGTGCCTCAAGCTCCGCGGATGTAGCGTTGAAAGCTCCGTGGTATATCATGAGTGGTTTGGATTGGATCGATGTATTCGGGATGTTGCGCCATTCTGAAATCTGGCGAATGGTTACGTGGATATTGGACTGTGGGGTTATTGTCATGTTGAAACGGCGATGCATAAGAGAGGAGTTTGGAATAGACAAGCCAGCAGCATGATATTCAAATGACGTCATTGTGGGTCGATATAAGGTTAACGGCGATTTGATACTCCAATCTCCCATCTCCCATCTTCCATCGTCCATCTATAGATTCATAGATCGATATTGGATGGTGTAGAATGTCTATAATCTCTGTGATTAATCTCAAGGCCACTGGTATGGTCTTATCCATACTGACAGCCGTGCCATTGTATAGCGAATCCGCCTGCTCCATGTTATCCTGTACAGGACCTCGATATACAATCCCAGTAACCATATTATACTCTAAAGGCCGGCTGCTCTTGGTTCTATTGTTCCACTTTGGCTATTTCGGGACGTTTCTGATGAACATGAGATTAAACCAGAACTCTACAACATGTAGAACTACTGAACGGACCACAGTTTCCATTTCGGCCCGATAGTGCAGCTTCTGGTTATTTGGGCCACAACCTTGGAAGTCTTTGATCTTACATATCAAAACTTGCTGCCAGAGCCATGAATGTGGATGCCGCAATAGTCCTAGTAAAGAGTGATCTATCATACGAGAGTGACTATACATTTCAGTGCACAAATATGGATTAAATAATATAGGAAAATGTCTGTGGGAGCAATTATAACCATAGACTACCTTGAAAATACCAAATCAAAAAAAACCATACATGCATTCAACACAAATGTTCTAGATGAAGGCGATGATGTAGATTTGGGAAAGCTCCGCCACCTCACCGCCTGCGGCAATAAGCCATCCCCACGCTGGACCTTCTCAGCCTCATCACTCTGCTCCCCTTCATCTACTTGATTTCTTTTCTAAATTTCCCTTCAGATTGACTGGATAGGCTGTATATTCCTGCCATCCTTTGATTTCGCCTTCTCCAACCCCGCTGCGCGCCCCTCCTCCCAAGCGCCGAAGTCATTTGATCACCTCGAAGATCTTTGAGGCGTGACTTGTGGCGCTGCAACCACCTTGAGGTCATTCCATAAGGTGTGTAATTTGCAGTTCGCTACAACGCACGAACTTTTTCTGACTACGCGGTCAAGTTCTCCAACCTCGACTTCCCACCTTGCCTACAAATCCGACCCGACTTCGCCCCTTGCAATCGCGATGTCTCTCACGATGCCGCCGGTGCCCCACAAGGATGACCTCGAATCTACGTGAGTTGATGATAGCAATGGACGGCTGGGGTTCGAATGTGCAGCGTGGGCTAACTTTGTGCTAGGTGGTCTTTTCTTGAAGCGGGGATCGAGAGCGTGATGCTCAACCTGGACGCAGGTATCGATATGAAAACTGTAAGTGGAAGTCCCGGTGTCTCGATCTCTCACATGCCGTATTAAATTATGGAAGCTGACTGGTTCTGCACGTTTAGTACATGGGTCTCTACACGTGTGTCCAAGTTTTGAAACTCCTGGCTTCCATCTGGTACCGTGCTCACAAACTGATTTTAGGGCTGTCCATAACTTCTGCACTTCACAAAAGGCCGTTTCCAGTGGTCAAGGCTTGCAAGCCCAACGTGGGGGTTCGTTTTCCTTTAAATCTCATCAAAATGCCTCGGCTTGCGACCAGCGCTGACCTTTAAACCAGCCCATTTGTTGGGCGAGGAACTCTACAAGCTACTAGGCGAATACCTTTCCCGTCATCTCGCCGAGGTGTATAAGCAATCACAGAGTCACACCGAGGAAGGCCTGCTTGGCTTCTACATCCGCGAGTGGTACCGCTATACGACCGCCGCCAAATATGTCAACCACCTTTTCCGTTACCTCAACCGCCACTGGGTCAAGCGTGAGATCGACGAGGGCAAGAAGAACGTGTTCGATGTGTACACTCTGCACCTGGTCAAGTGGAAGGAGGACTTCTTTGAGAATGTTCATGAGAAGGTCATGGATGCTGTTCTGAATCTGATCGAGAAGCAGCGAAACGGAGAGACCATTGAACAGTCCCAGATCAAGTCTATTGTCGACTCATTTGTATCCCTCGGCCTGGATGAGAATGACAGCTCCAAGTCAACACTCGACGTCTACCGCACATATTTCCAGAAGCCTTTCATCGCCGCTACCAAGACCTACTACGAGAACGAGTCACGGCAGTTCGTCGCAGAGAACAGCGTGGTGGAGTACATGAAGAAGGCCGAGGCTCGTCTTGACGAAGAGAAGTCTCGGGTTGGTCTGTATCTGCATCCTGATGTCACCAAGAGCCTTACCGATACCTGCCTGGATGTGCTTGTCACTGCCCACTCGACCCTGCTGCGCGATGAATTCCAAATCTTGCTCGACAACGAACGCCAAGAGGATTTGGCTCGCATGTACCGACTGCTTTCCCGTATCAAGGAGGGCCTGGACCCTCTGCGTACCACCTTTGAGAACCATGTCAGACGGGCCGGCCTCGCTGCTGTTGAGAGGGTGGCCTCAGATGGAGATAACTTTGAACCCAAATTGTACGTTGATGCTTTGTTGCAGGTCCACACGCGCTACCAGAACCTGGTTGATGATGCTTTCGCTGGTGAATCCGAGTTCGTGCGCTCTCTGGACAACGCTTGCCGCGAATTTGTCAACCGAAACCACATCTGCAAGGTCAGCTCTTCCAAGTCGCCCGAGCTGCTCTCGAAATACACAGATTCGCTACTCAAGAAGGGTTCCAAATCTGCGGAGGAGTCCGAACTTGAGGAGATGCTCTTGCAGGTCATGACTGTCTTCAAGTACATTGAAGACAAGGATGTCTTCCAGAAGTTCTACACGAAGTCCTTGGCCAAGCGGCTGGTCCACACCAGCTCAGTCTCTGATGATGCAGAAACCAGCATGATCAGCAAGCTGAAGGAGGCGTGCGGTTATGAATACACCAATAAACTGCAACGCATGTTCCAGGACATCCAGATCTCCAAGGATCTCAATAACAACTACAAGGACTGGCAGGACAAAGTATTGGATGATGATGATCGCAAGAGACTAGCCGATGCCCAGTTCCAGATCCTAGGAAACGGTTTCTGGCCTCTTAACGCGCCGACAACTCCATTCCTTGCACCGCCCGAGATTGTCAAGACTGCAGAGCGGTTCCAGAAGTTCTACTTTGATAAGCACAGTGGCCGCAGGCTGAGCTGGCTGTGGCAGCTATGCAAGGGCGAAATCAAGGCCAACTACATCAAGAACGCCAAGGTGCCTTACACCTTCCAGGTTTCGACCTATCAAATGGGTATTCTGTTGCTCTTTAACGAGACTGATACTCTTTCCTACACCGATATTGAAAAGGCCACCACCCTGGCCCCCGAAATCCTCGACCCCAACCTCAGTATCTTGTTGAAGGCCAAGGTCCTCATTGCTAGCCCAGAGGGTGCCAAGCCCGAGCCCTCTACCACGTTCACTTTGAACTACAACTTCAAGAACAAGAAAATCAAGGTCAACCTTAACATTCAGATCAAGTCTGAGCAGAAGGTAGAAACTGAGGATACACACAAGACTATAGAAGAGGACCGGAAGCTCCTGCTTCAGGTATGTTCCGATGAACTCACCCTACACCCATTAATCCGTTCTAATAATCCCTTTAGTCCGCTATCGTTCGTATCATGAAATCGCGAAAGAAGATGAAGCACGTCCAGCTGGTACAGGAAGTCATCCAACAAGTCAAGTCTCGCTTCCCACCCAAGATCCCCGATATCAAGAAGAACATCGAGGCCCTCATGGAAAAAGATTATATCGAGCGCATGGACGGCGACGAAATCTCTTACATTGCTTAAACAAACTCGAACTGTCCCTCAATCAACAACATCGCCATCTTGCCTCTTTTCTTTTTCTCTTTTTCTACTGATTCCTATCGTCCCATCCGGACAGCATGTTCCTATACCCCCTTGTCGTTCCCAGCCCGCCGTCCACCAACAGCGAAACGGGGAAAACTCGCACGGGGACATTGATATCCTGCTGATCTAGACTGGGGTAGGTAGTTAACAGCTGGATTAAGGCGGATAGGAGCATAGGCATTTCTCATTGTGTCGATTTATTTTTCATGTTTCCATCTTCATAGCGCTGAGATGACACCTCAATGATGACCTAGTTTTTATTTTTGCTCATTGCTTTTTTGGTCTTTACGGAATCAGAAAAATAGACAAATATTAATTTTTGAATCTAGATTGGTTGCTATTATAATGTCCTACTAGATGTGATCTAAGTTGACTAAGGTATGTATAACGGTGGACGAGTGCGACCTGCTAGCCATAACTCTGGTCAATACATGCTAGCCATCATCATAGATATAATCTTAACAGAAATGAAACCTTGAAGAATAGAGCCGATGAAACGGACTTGATCATCTATATAATAAACAGGAAGGAATCAGGTAGAGGTTTGTTGGTTCGTATACCAAAAATGCAAAAGCGCGTTAACGATGATACAATGCGAATGCGAATGCAAATGCAAATCCCAATGCCAATGCCAGAAAAAAGAACAAATACAAGAACCAATTCCCAGCTCCTCAATCTGAAGCAGTATCCAAGATTGTACATCCGAATTCATTACACATCCCCCTTAACAGGAAGAGCAGTGAACGATCCATCACGCGTATGTCCACCACCAGAAGGAGGCATATCCTCCTTCTGATTCCGACTCTGACTCTGATTCATACCCAACCCAAGACCCTCATTAGGCGTAAGAGCCACGGACGAGAAACCATCCGCATCAAATGTATCCGTGTCTCGCTCGACCTTCTCCTGCGTACGGGTCTGGGGATCACCACCCCGATCCCGATCCTGATCCTCCTTTTCCTCAGCTCCCTCCCCATAAGCCGGGAATCCCTGTGACAAGGGAGACTTGGGGAACGGCACATCAGCAGACTCAGACGTGGACGACTCATCCCTGCGCTGTAATTCGGCGCTGTCGCGCCGTAGGAGGATATTACTCCACCGTTTCCTGCGGCTGACGCTGCGTGTTAGACCGCCTTCGGTGGTGCTATCGATGCTTCCTTCGCTTCTGTGTTGGATTGAGCGGCGACGGCCACGGTCACGGTCTGATTCAGCGATTTCGGTTACGACGGATAATGTTGATGCGGAGGGCGAGGTTATACCCGCTGCTGTGTTTGAGCTCTGGATTGCATTTGCATTTGAGTTTGCGTTTGCGTTGGGATTCGGGCTTGGAGAGGCGCTGCGCTTGTCTTGCCATTCGCGACGTTTTTCGCTCGCCCATGAACCCCACGAGCTGAAATACGCACCTGCTCTTTGGCTTGCTGCGCTGACGGAGGCTTGGGCTTGAGCCATGTCGACTGAAGCGCGAGGGCGGGAGTCGGGGTCCATTGTTGCAGTTGAAGTTGAAGTTGAGGGGGTAGGAGAGGCGGGGGTTTCTTTGTCGATGGATGCGCGTTGGGGTTGGGCTTGTGCTTGTATTGCTTTTTCTTCGTTGCGTTTGCGTTGGGCCTCGCGCATTGACTCGATGTCGGACCAGAAGCTGTTAAAAGCAGCTGTTACTTTCTTTTGGCCGGTTGAGAAGTGGCGGTTCAGGGCTTCGCGGCCTTCGCGGACGCGTTCGTCTAGGTGGAGGTCTGCGACTTGTTGGGAGAGGCGGCGTTGGATGTCCTCCATTGTTAAACCGCCGGCGCTTGGGTGGCGGGGCTCGGTGATTGAGAAGAGGAGGGCGTCGGAAGTGAGGCGAGAGAACATGGCATAGTTGGATGTTGTTTGCCATTGAGTTAGGAATTCCATGTTGAAGTCGATTGCTGGGTCTCCTTCTATGTTGAAGTTCTGTAGTTGGGTTCTGCTGCGGTTGGATTCCCCGGTAGTGCATGAGGAAAGCTCCTCGTGGTATTTCATCGAAGATAACAAGGCCAGCAGGTATTCTTCGAACTGGAGTCGAATGAACTCTTCGGAGCCCATGAAGCCAAGTGTCTTTGGTCTTGAAGGATGCTCCTCATCCCAGGTGTCATTGACGATTTGAGTAAGCAGGTCAATCCAGCGTCTGTCAGCTGCGGAAAGGGCAAGGGCAGTACGCAGAGAAGGGGAGTTGATGACGATACTGTCTTCGTCAAGCTAGTTGCAACTGTCAGATATGGTGTTCCGTGGGGAATAAGGCAACTTACGTTGATTAAAATGTCACTGTAGCGGTCCTTTTGCTGTAGGAGCAGCGAGTTGGTTGAGCCCACCACGTAGGATTTCGTCCCATCATCCGCCAGCAGATCTAGCAGCTGCAGAGGTGTATAGGGGCCGAACATGCTTCCCTGGAGACGAGTTAGCAGAAGCCAGAGAATGCATTCGTTGTACTTCTTACCTTTCCAAAAATCTGTAACGGCAGACCCATGTATGCCAACACTAAAGGGTTAGCAAGCAATTCGCAATCCAACGCCTTGAGATGAACCATACAAGAACTTCTGTCACTCGTCTTGAGAGATGTAGGCTTCTCAACAGTCTGAGAATAGGTATCAAAGGAAGGATCCGCACAGTCCTGGAGACTATTGATGAGGCCGGGTATTAAAGATATAAGAGAAAATTGTATCATGCACAGGCGTTCACAACGCGTTCCAAAGAAAAGCATCTGCATTTATCAGCACTGCTCTGGGGTAAATGACAGGGCCACATACCTTGGGTTGCAACAGCAGTCCCTTGAAGAGAACCAATGTCTGATATTTGAATTCATGAATCATCTCCCGAAGTGAAAGTCCTAGCAGAATCAGCAAAATGTCACATAGCCAGACCAGACAGCATTCTTACCCAAATTTTGATCTTTCGGGCCATCGTCATTCGACAGACTAATCACCAATCCCTCGCGGAATTTCTGAAATCATATTAGCACACCATTCCACCACATCGCTGTAACCGGTCTGTAACCGGTTCATACCTTCAAAATATCAATATCCGAGAAGTCACTAATATCAGCCCCAATTAGCCCCTATCGTTCCACATGCACGGTTCAAGCCATCGCGGGCAATATCCCACATACCATTGCGCAAACCAAGCAGAAGTAACAACAGACAGCTTCTCCCTCAATTGACCAACCCGCTGCGGCGTATCCGTAACAACCACCACAGCCTTTTGTACCGTTGACCGAGTAACATCAGGAGGGCGATTGGTGAGCAGGCTCGAGTCAAGCTGACGAGAACAGGCAATACCAAATAACGAAGTCGCAGGGAGAGTATCCGATTCCTTTCGGCGCAGTGTAAAGTATGAGAATTCCTCAGTCGACCTGCAAATCAACCGGTTAGTTGGTCTGGCGCAAAGTGGGTGCTTCGTTTGGTTGTGGATTGGCCACGGTCAGGGAAAGGGATAAAGGTGGTTCGTACAGATGCGCGCCGTCGGAGAGGGCCATAAATGGTAGCAGGGACCAATCATTTTCGACTGCTGGGTCGGTTCCTTCGTCGGCGATGCAATGTTCAATCTCGGGGCCGCTGCAGATGTCTCAGTCAGTAGGGTTTATTGTGGGGCTGCCAGCGCTTGTTTAAAGTATCAAGTTTCACTTATATGGAGTCCGGGGAATCAAGTGCTCGGTGGCTTACCGTGCATGGTGGAAATCAATCACCAACACAATTGGGTCTTGTTTATGGACAGCCATGGCGCCGGGTCATGGAAGATGGAATCTGGGCAGGAAAGGTAGCTTCAGACGCTTGAGAAGTGATAGCTTGGAAGAGAGGAACTGGTGCTAGGTTGTACTGAGGTTCTTGTCCTCCAAAGCCACAATGTTTCCCATGAAGATGAAGTATCGCAGATCGCGAAACAGGGGAAAATGATATGGTTATCGCGCACGTTGTGACTGGCCGGGGGTGTGGGCGGTGAGTAGCCCCGCCAATCTAACTTGACCCTCAATATCGCCAGTTTATATTGATCACTTAGTTACTTGGTTGTTTAGTTACTTATGTAGTTGTCTAGCTGTTTAATCACTGTTTAGTAGTATTGTAGTAAATTAAATTGCCGAACAAAAAAAGTCAGGTGCCCATCGTTCAAATCAGATCCCCTCATTTCTCCGAATCACCAACCATTTCTGACGACGCCGAATGAGCTATGGACAAATAATTCCAGAAAGACAAAGACAAGGTAGAGAATAAAAATCAAAGATAAAGATAAAACAATGCCGAACTTCACATCTTTTGAAAGATTTATTGAAAGATTTAGGCAGGGGAGATCTGAGACTGATATCAAGGGCAGGGTGTATTATGATGGACACGCAATTATCACTATGCGTATGTCTGAGCGTCGTTACCCTGTACTGCGCCTTCCATCAAAGCCTGACCGGCCTCGTTGCCTTGTTCAATGTTGTGGAAGTCGAGGATCTCGGAGTACCTGAGCAATGTAAGTAAGAGAAAGAGAAGGAGCGAGCGAATCACGTACATCATAATCTTCCAAGTATCCACGGGCAAATCGGCATCATTGAATGACCAATCGAACTTTTCTTGTGCAACAGGCTCATCGGTGGGGTCGTGGTAGGGGGCCAGGTACTCGTGGGCTAATGCGTCGGGGGCTTGAATTCGCTGTTTCGGGTTGAACACCAGCATCTTCTCGAGCAGGTCAACCGCTAGATATACAAGTAAGCGCTTCGTCCAGAACGAATCCATTCCAATCGAGTGACGTACCATCGGCATCAGCGTTCTTGAACTTATTCGCAAGCGGTTGGCGCTCGCGCTTTGGTAGAGACTTGACAAATCGCAGGGTCTGCGTCTTGTTAGCAGTTTTCCGTCCTTCACTGGGATATTCACTTACATTCTCGCTGCAAATGGTTTGAATCACATCATCTGGGGGAGTGCCCAACAGCTCAGTAATGATAGAGAACTGGTTGACATGGTCCTTTCCGGGGAAGAGGGGTTTGCCCTCCAACATCTCGGCGAAAATACAGCCCGCACTCCAGATATCCACCTCAACATCATACTTTTGCCAAGTGAGCATGATCTCGGGCGCTCGGTAGTATCGTGTTGAGACATAACCGGTCATCTGGGGGTCCTGGATGCGAGCCAGGCCGAAGTCGCAAATTTTGAGATCGCAGTTTTCATTTATCAGGATGTTGCTGGGTTTGAGATCCCGGTGAACAACACCGGCGGAGTGCACATATTTCAAGCCACGCTATCAAAAGGTCAGATTCGGATCGGCAGCGGGTTCCCGCGAAAGTCTTACCAAAATTTGGTATAAGAAGTACTGAATGAATTGCTTTTCAAGGGGACGCGAAGTCAGGAGTCGGTGAAGGTCGGTACCAAGAAGTTCGGTGACGAAGTAACTACGGGAATTAGCGTGACGCCCCCACTTTCTGATAACAGATCGTACATGTCTTCCAGAGGCGAAATGAAAATATCGCTCAAGCTGATAATCTGCGCAATGTCAGCATCTCGAATTCACGTAGTACAGGTAGTACAGACGTTTTCGTGGCGGAGATGTTTGAGCAGCTTCAGCTCCCGATAAGTGCGCTTGGATAGAACGGGAGTGCTGAAGGGCTTCATGATCTTCTTGACAGCGACCGGCTGGGCGGTCAATTGGTCTTTCGCAGAACTATCTCGTTGGAATCCCGGTTAGCACGTTCTTAAGCCTCGATATGTAGCCTCGTACGACACAGGATGCAACATACCAGACTAGTCCGAAGGCACCCATTCCCACCGGTTGCAATTCCGTATACCTAAATCAAGAGTCAGCTCTGAACACACTGCGAGAGGACTGCGCGCCTCCCCGCCTGAAGGACTGCGAACCGGCTGGTGATCTCAAAGGTGGTGCCGAAGATCTGGGCACGCACGAATTCCGCCATGATGAAAGAGGGTACGGGTACGGTATTCGTGAGGAAGTCAAGTTAGGAGTCAAAAGAGGGATGAAGCCGAGAAAGGGGCGCAAAGAGCAGAGTGTGTGGGGAAGTGAAAAGCGCAGAAAACAAGGAAGGTATGACGTCCGCTCGGGACCAGGTTTTGGGGCTGACTAAGATCTAGATCTCGCTTTTTATATCTCTTAACTTTCCTGTTCTCGATCATACTCCTATTGGATTTTATGCTCTTATCATCTTTCCTCTCTCTGTCTCTTCCTCTTTATGATATATTGTGTTGCGTTGTTCTGCTCTTCTCTCTCTTCTCTTCTCTCTCAACTTCGCTCCACACCTACGTGGCCTAGACCGGAACAGATCCCGGACTCATTTTCCACCCATTGAGATATGTAGAAAGCCTCAACTTGGACTCAAGATTAATCTGCGCTTAACTGGGTGGTATTTGGGCCACTTCGATCTATAACCCCTCATCTCAATAGAGTCAAGATATACATCTACTGAATCGAAGCTACTCCCCTACCCTACCCCTCCAGGAAGTAATATCCGGTCTGGACCATGTACATCACTCAGCATATCAGATGCACTGCACATGTACACTAAGCCCATTCGGATATGTGTGACGTGGTGGGGCTTGGAATATTTTGACCATGTCATCACCGCTATCTCCCTGGACATATATATTGGGTTGGGCATGGGTGTTTTACAAGAGCCTCCTGAAAATTTAGCCAACTCTTCTAGCTCAACTATACGTTGATATGTTTCGGGACTGTCTCAACCGGTGTTACGGATCTAGCTGAGACCTGTGAAACAAGACCTGCCACGCTACTGCAGGCATGTAACAAAGGCCTTTGAAGGATAAACATGACTGAACAAAGCTGCAGCTGCATTTAAACTCTGGAACTGCCCTTTGTGGTTTCATGTTCCTGTATTGGGACAGAGGGTACTCTGTATATATATATATATCTCGCCCCTGCCCTCTCCCTCTATACTCCCGAGTGTTTGCTTTTTCCGGGTATTACTTGACCTGGTCACAGTGGCGGAATTGACTTCCACTGGGTCAGTGCCCATTCACAGCAAGTTACCGTACAGAGACGAAAAATGACCACAGTTCCATCTCTTACCTGGTATAAATGTGGAGAGACGAGAGACGCTCACCGAACAACCCCGCCAGGATTCAACTGATTGCCTGAGGCAGAAGACCCCGAATTTGCGTCACTCTCTACTAAGAGAATACGGAGGACATCACTCCTTCTTCAGAGATTTTCCAACGAGCTGTTTATAGAAAAAAAGGAAAAAAGACTCTGGGAACGAGGGTGACGCGGCAGCGGTTGAAACCCGTTCAGCCGAATGATCGCTTCGAGTAGACTTTCGTTAGTCGACCAGGGTTGGATCTGACTAGGGAACGTGCCCAACTGTCCCCCCGGGTTTTCCCTTTCCCTTCCCTTACCTATGTCACCTATACCTATGTCCTATAGCTCCTATATCCTAGATCCCATCAAATAGTGTCCCTATACTAAAAATAATACTCGTAATATACCAGGCTAAAGGGTTGATTCCTATACACTACCTGAGTCAGCATCTCCGCAGCATTTCTCGCCCCCTCTCCCGCCCCAGCTATACTCCGTACCTCCTTCCGATCTGGTCGCAATTCTTACCTCACCTGTCACCTCTCAACTGTCACCTTTCACCTCTCACTTACCACTTCTCGCAAAGTACCCTCCCCACACCTCCCTTTACTACTCTCCCGATACTCGCTGGTCGCAGCGATTTTTACTTTGTGAAACTGCCTTCTCCTAAGGCTCCGGCCGTTTGAACCGGCAGACACCGCTCGTGCCGCGCGATTGATGAGTCTAGTGCCTGCTGGCCTGGCACTTTAAGGCGCTCGCGATGGGCTCCTGTTTCAGCTCAGAGTCTGGGGGGGACGCCGAACAGAAGAAACGAAGTCAGATGATCGACCGCAAGCTAGAAGAGGACTCAAGACGACTACGGCGAGAATGCAAAATTCTCCTTTTGGGTAGGCTCTGACGGAAGAGCTGGCTTGGGCCCTGGGCTAACTGGCAAACCGCAGGTTCCGGAGAGAGCGGCAAGTCCACGATCGTGAAACAGATGAAGATTATCCACCAAAATGGCTACACCGTCGAAGAACTGGCACTGTATCGCTTGACGGTCTACAAGAACCTCCTGGATTGCGCCAAAGCGCTCATCGGAGCCTACCACTATCTCCAGCTCGAACCCTCCAGCCAAAAGGTCCAGGATTACATCGCATTCATCGAAGAGTACAACGTGGACCCGGATCCCAACACTACGCTTGATCCGAAAATCGGCGACGCCATCACATATCTCTGGAATGACCCCTGCACATCAACGGTTTTGGAACATCAGAACGAGTTCTACCTGATGGACTCAGCGCCATAGTAAGTGCTTCAACCACGTCTCAGGGATAAATGCTTACATGCGACTAGTTTCTTCGACGAAGCGAAACGAATAACCGCCCCCGACTACATTCCGAACGTCTCAGACGTACTCCGCGCAAGAACGAAAACCACTGGTATCTACGAGACCAGATTCACAATGGGGCAATTGAGCATACAGTACGTGGACCGCAAGACTTGCGATTTGGGACATCCTAACCAGTCACAGCATGTTCGATGTCGGTGGCCAACGCAGTGAGCGAAAGAAATGGATTCACTGCTTCGAGAACGTCACCTCTATCATCTTTTGTGTCGCATTGAGCGAATATGATCAAGTACTGCTCGAAGAGAGCAATCAGGTATGGGACTCCAACTACCGAGTATTCTGGATCGAAGCTGACAATCCTAGAACCGAATGATGGAAAGTTTAGTGCTCTTCGACTCCGTGGTCAACTCTCGATGGTTCATGCGGACAAGTATCATCCTCTTCCTGAATAAGGTCGATCTGTTCCGCCTGAAGCTACCCCGATCGCCCTTGAGCAACTATTTCCCCGATTACTCGGGCGGCAATGACGTGAATCGTGCTGCCAAATACCTGCTCTGGCGATTCAACCAAGTAAATCGAGCACACCTGAACCTCTACCCGCAGTGAGTTTACCCGGCCCTTCGCGATATCTCCATGCATATCTGACCTGTCTTTTTTTCTAGTCTCACCCAGGCCACCGACACAACCAACATTCGCCTGGTCTTTGCAGCAGTCAAAGAAACCATCCTACAGAATGCTCTGAAAGACTCGGGCATTCTATGATCACCTCGCCATCTCCGAGACTCAGTTTCGCGATTAACCTCCCCTCCCGCCTCACAACCTTACGACCATCCCACATCACTTCTCAACGTCGCTTTTGGTGTTATTTGATACCACACTCCCGATTACCCGAACAGCTCCACAACGACCAGTCATACCCTTTTCAATTTCCAACTTCCACACTTCCCTATTCTTGCTTTTGACCAGCTGCAGGCGTTTATGGCGCCTTTCTCGCTTCCAGAACTGATATTTCAGGCACTGGCCCAGGGAAAACCCTTGTTTGGTATCTGCGAGGTGGTATTACTCCTTTCCTAAAGAATCCAATGCCCCATCAGGGGTCTCAATAGCATGCCTGTGAAACCATTCATGGTATCGTCCACCCTGCAATGCTCCTTTCTATTCCTCTTGTATCTCTCCTCTGTCTCTCAATTAGCCCCAAACGAGCGTATTGCCAACCCGAAAAGTCGCCCGATATGTTGGTCTCGACCTTTTAATTTATTTACTCGGATATCCTCATGGGGCTTTTACTAGCTAACCATTGACTCGTTCTTCTCTTCTATTCTTCTATATGTTCGTTATATCTCTTGCTTTTGCCCTTGCTCTGTTCCAGCCTCATTTCCATGCATACCATGGCGGCTCCAATATAATGTGCCATGTTTGCCTCTGATATCTCTCTCCTTCTTCTACCTTTGTCTTGTATTCTCTTTCCTTATTAGCCTATTTACCAACTCGCAGCCAGGAGAGTTTTCTCGCACCGTGCTTTCTGATTTATTTCCCTTCCTTCCGGGTTAGTCCTGCTGTATCCCCTCCAGCTTTTGGTTCTCAACATCCAGACTATCTTTCCTGTTTAGTACTGCAAGAACGGTACTGGGCTTTCCTTGGTCGAAACTATGGCTGGATCCGTTGTTGGCTTGTAGCATACTCATTGTCTGATTATGATTTCTGTTGCACAGTGGGACCGTAGATCGGGGCGTGATATGTCTGGGCAGTGTGCTCTCTTTACTAATAGCCTGGATATCAAATCACTCCCGTTTGGGTTGCCTTTATTCTGGAATGCTGCTCGTTGGTCAGAACCTTTCGTATACAGAAATTCATCAGCTTTTGTCATGTTATGACCTAGTTGCAGGATGAACCACTCAGCGAAGTTTGGTCTCTCACAGTGAAAACAGTCATCCAAATCACCGCAGACCACATGCCCACCCTTCTACAGGCCTATGCCGTCTGTACCTGTGCTCCCAGCCCGAAATATATGCTCGTATTGAAGCAGCCACTGAACTAATTTTCTTCAAGAACAGCCCTGACTAAGACGCAGGCAGTCTCCACCTCGCACCCCCATGCAACCCAGCAGCCACAGACATCATAGCTTAGGCCCAGCCCCGCTAATAAGAGCTGCTTTGCTCAACACCTCTCTTCCATCCCTCGAGGTTATATTACTGTTTGTCTATGCACTCCCCCCGCAGCGAGATCATGCAACCGACCGCGGGGATTGCGACTAACTCAACCAGCAGTAAGACTAAGAAAAGCATGGACATGCAAGTCCACACCATACACTGAGCATATCTTACATACTTCTAAGGAATGTAAGTACATCAAAGTATGTGAGAGAGGCGTGGAGAGAAAGAAAGAGCAGAGAATCATTGATCTACATGGCCCCCTCATATCCGCTCAAAACTACATGTTCCAGACAGCTTAGCTTCCCCAGAAAGCGAATTAGTTAGGAAATGACCGGCGCCAGTGTTGGTTCTAGCTCCCATCCGTGCAGGGGTCTCCCATCTGCGCGTGGACATCATGCGGCATTGGGTATGCAATACGCCTGTATGTGGCGTTCGCGGGGTATGGGTAACAGCTTGGAGGAGGGGAAGGACCGACTGTATGTACATGTTTTGTAGGAATATAAGCTGGATATGGGATATTAGATACATTGGAAAGGGTTATCTTTCCACATGGCGACGAGACAGGTATTTCCGGATGTACTCGGGTAGGGTTTGGGAATCTATAGAGCCGTATTGGGGATGTAGTGATTGTACAGGGCAAGTATACGGGGACAGGGACATGGGAAAGTATCCAAATATGCAGAGGAGAAAAGCAGGGAAATGAACATGGCATGATGAGGAGTATAATACCTATACTACCTATACTACCTATAGCTACGTAGCTGTATACTACTCATTGACGGCACGTCGATAAGCTCAGTACCCGCTCTCCGCATGCGGCGATATAGATATACAGAGTTGATTAATAGTTAATGATTAATTGAATTATAGTAAATTTATTAATTAAATAGCTAGGTAAGTTATTGAGAAATGTCTAAACTAAAAAAAGTAGATGGCCTGACGGGATCCGAGGGTGTCACCAGAGTCATGACTGCATGAACTGCACTTTCCCCTCTTTCCTTTTAACCTCCCTCCCACTCTCTATTCTTTCCTCTCTATTTCCCTTCTACATTCTACATACATCCTCACCATGGCCGAGTCTGAACCCCGTCGCGAGCGGAGACCCTCCGTTGGAGCTCCCATTGCCGACCTTCAAGGTCCCGTCGGCCCCGGATTTAGTCGTCCCAAGCACAAACGCACCTACACTGGTCTGGGACCAGCTGAGATCAAGAGTGTGGAAGCCAGTATCCCTGAACCACTGCGAGAGGCGTGAGTACTTGTTTGTGTTGTATCTTTGTCTTGGATTTGGGGTACTGACCATTGCAACCCTGCAGCTGGAAGAAACATGTATGCAATCAACTCTCGGATTTGACTAATGCTAATCTTCCAATTAGTCCGCAAATGAATTTACGAACAAAGAGGAATTTGAGGTCAGTGCTGGATATTATTCATTATTCGCCTGATCGCTGACACCTTATAGAAAGAGCTTGTACGCCACATCGAGACCACGCTTGCTCGTTCGCTGTACAATTGCGACGAGTTGTAAGTTCACTATACCCTTGGTCATGACTTGGCAATTGATTTGTTTCCAGGGCCGCGTACTCCGGCACTGCGCTCGCTTTCCGTGACCGGTTGATCATCGAGTGGAATAGGACGCAGCAGCGTCAGACTTTCACCGACCAGAAGCGAGTCTACTGTAGGTGCTTAATTACTTGACCAACGTAATTGCTAATCCATTTCCAGATTTGTCTCTTGAGTTCCTCATGGGTCGTGCTTTGGACAATGCTATGCTCAATGTTGGATTGAAAGAGGCCGCTCGAGGTGAGTTGTGCAGCAGTCGTGACATGACAACACTGACACGTACTAGAGGGATTGAGTGATCTCGGCTTCCGAATCGAGGACGTTATCGACCAGGAGCACGATGCGGCTTTGGGCAACGGTGGCCTGGGACGTCTCGCGGCGTGTTTCTTGGACAGCATGGCAACGCTGAACTACCCTGCATGGGGATATGGTCTGCGGTACCGCTATGGTATCTTCAAGCAGGAGATTATCAATGGATACCAGGTGGAAATCCCAGACTACTGGCTTGACAACAACCCTTGGGAGTTCCCACGGCACGAAATCACAGTCGACATTCAATTCTATGGTAATGTGAAGAAGTACCAGGGAGAGAATGGCAAGATCATCCACTCATGGGAGGATGGCGAGATTGTTCGAGCAATTGCATACGATGTCCCCATCCCCGGGTACGGTACCAAGACGACCAACAACCTCCGCTTGTGGTCCAGCAAGGCCAGCAGTGGAGAGTTCGACTTCCAGAAGTTCAACGCTGGAGATTATGAAAGTGCCGTGGCAGACCAACAGAACGCTGAAACAATCTCGGCTGTTCTCTACCCCAACGATAACCTCGAGCGGGGAAAGGAGCTCCGTCTGAAACAGCAGTACTTCTGGTGCGCTGCCTCGCTGTTTGACATTGTCCGGCGATTCAAGAAGACCAAGAGAGCTTGGAGCGAGTTCCCGGATCAAGTTGCGATTCAGCTGAACGACACTCACCCCACACTTGCCATTGTAGAGTTGCAACGCATCTTGATTGACAAGGAAGGTCTGGAATGGGATGAGGCATGGAACATCGTGACCAAGACCTTCGCGTACACCAACCACACCGTTTTGCCCGAAGCCCTGGAGAAGTGGTCTGTTCCACTGATGCAAAACTTGCTCCCTCGGCACTTGCAGATTATCTATGAGGTGAATCTGTATTTCCTGCAATCTGTTGAGAAGCGATTTCCCAAGGACCGGGACATCCTGTCGCGCGTCTCCATTATTGAAGAGTCGCACCCCCAGATGGTGCGCATGGCCTATCTGGCCATCATCGGCTCTCACAAAGTCAACGGTGTAGCTGAGTTGCACTCGGACCTTCTCAAGACCACTCTTTTCAAGGACTTTGTGGAGATCTATGGAGTCGACCGCTTCACCAATGTCACCAACGGCATCACTCCTAGACGTTGGCTGCACCAGGCGAACCCTCGGCTGTCTGCTTTGATTGCGGATAAGCTTGGCAGTTATGATTTCCTGAAGGATCTCACACTTCTTGACAAGATTGAGGCATTTGTTGACGACAAGGCCTTCCGGGAAGAGTGGGCGGAAATCAAACGGGAGAACAAGGCGCGACTTGCCAAGCATATTAAGGCTACTACTGGATTCGACGTGAACCCCAACGCTCTGTTTGATGTGCAGGTGAAGCGTATTCACGAGTACAAGCGCCAGCAGCTCAACATTTTCGGCGTCATTCACCGCTACCTGACCATCAAGGACATGACCGCCGAACAGAAGAAGAAGGTGGTGCCTCGTGTTTCCATCTTTGGAGGCAAGGCTGCTCCAGGATACTGGATGGCGAAGACAATCATCCACCTCATCAACAAGGTGGCCGAGGTTGTGAACAAGGATCCGGAGATTGGTGATCTCTTGAAGGTAATCTTCATCGAGGACTACAACGTCAGCAAGGCCGAGATCATTTGCCCCGCCTCGGATCTCAGCGAGCACATTTCCACCGCCGGTACCGAAGGCAGTGGTACTAGTAACATGAAATTCGTCCTGAACGGAGGTTTGATCATCGGTACCTGTGACGGAGCTAATGTAAGATAATCCCCACATCCCAACCATATCATACTAACCCTAATCTAGATCGAAATCACCCGCGAAATCGGCGAACAGAACATCTTCCTCTTCGGCAATCTCGCCGAAGACGTCGAGGATCTCCGTCACCGACACTTCTACGGCAATTTCAAGCTTGACCCCCAGTTGGAGCGCGTCTTCAACGCAATCAAGGGCAACACATTCGGCGACGCTGGCGACTTCTCCGCCCTCACCAGTTCCATTGAGGAGCACGGCGACTACTACCTCGTCTCAGACGATTTCAACTCCTACATCACCACACACGAGATGGTCGACGAGGCATTCCTCAACAAAGAGGAGTGGCTTGCTAAGTCGATTAGCTCTGTGGCGCGCATGGGCTTCTTCTCGATGGATCGTGTCACTAACGAGTATGCGGATAGCATTTGGAATGTTGAGCCGCTGAATGTTGAGGAGTAGGCTGGTAGTACTACCTACAGTCTCGAGATTGATTTCGTTTGCATGATTTATGGATTCATCAGGACTTTGCATTCACATTGGTATAATCAATTTGGTTTATTTCCTACAACCACAACAACTATCATTAAGAAACCTTGTAATATATCGTATGATTTTATTTTATATTCAATTGATCTATCCAGGACTTCTCTTTGAACAATACCGCCCGGAAGATTCTATCTCTAGACATTATTCATGACAAACATTGAACATATCACCCATCCATGCAGAACAAACAAATAGAATATCAAACCAAACCAGAAACTCAAAACTAAAAAACCAAACTAAGCAGAAGTCTCATCCCCTTCCTGAATAGTCGAAGGCTTATGACCCTGCGGCAAAGCCGAAGTATTCAAAGGCTCCGAAAAGGTCTCGGGCCAAAGGAACATCTTCTCCTCGTTAGAAGGCGTAGCAGCTGTCATAAGCGTCGGAACAGCCTCCTTAGAAGAAATCCGTCGCCACATATTAGCACGAGGGTTATACCGCACCGGTTTACCAACACCACCCGTCTTCTTCTGATCTTCACGCGAAATAGCCTCAACCTCGCGTTTGATATCAGAGAAGGTATCGAAGGGCGTGTAGGGGATACCGTGCTCGATGCAGTGTTCTTCGAGGCGGAGGCCGCGGCGTGCGAAAAGGACGTCTGCTTCGCGGGCGGCGGCTAGGTCGGAGACTCCGTCGCCAATGAAGACGATCAGGGGGATTTCGTCTGGTGTGCATTCTGCTTGGGCTTGTTGGCGGGCTGTGTTTACGCTCATTGCTTTGTCGTGGCCTGATTCGGAGGCGTCGCGCCAGACGGGTTTCCAGGGACTGCCGTCTACTATTTGGACGTCGTTTGCTACGATATCGATTGAGGAAGCCTAGTTTGGTTTTTGTTAGTTTTTTATTTGGATTTGGATTTGGGATTTGGGGTTTGGTTTACCTCTTTCTCGCCGAGGAAGATATCAAGGACTCGCTGCAGGATTGGCTTGAGACCGGCGCTGATGATGTTGAATGGGAAGCCGTTTTCGGCACAGTATAGGTGGAATTCTTGGAAGCCCGGGTCGATTTGGAGGTTCTTTTCCATGACATCGAAGCCGTCGCCGAAGGGGATTGTTAGGGATCCCCACATGTCATCGGAGATGTCACGGAAGGATCGTTCGCCGGTTTTGAATTGCTCTTCTAGTTTGTTGCGGTAGGCGGCACCGCAGCCATGGTGGTCCACTAGGATGTGGCCAGTATCTTGCATGAAGATTGTGCCATCGAAGTCTAGTTATATTTAGCATTGGTACTTTTTTGCGATTGGGTAGGATTGGAGGGTTTTCCCGGATTGGGGTTGGACAGGACAAGGATGGGGGTTAGAGGTTCGTACCAGAGAAGATAATGATCTTTCTCTTTTGATCGACGGGCTGCGCTTGTTGGGTCATTTTATACAGTCTTAGGGAGGAGAGTATGTAACTATAGTGAACTGGAAGTAGAAGGATATGTGAACTATAGGAAAAGGGAAAAATGTGAAGAAACGGATAAGGCAATGTAAGTAGCCGTTCATCCGGACATGTCGTACCTTGGTCAAGTCGTGGCAAACAAGACAGGGACAATGACGTCGGTGAACGACATCAGTGTGGGCCGAGGAAGCGGTGGGTCTTGCCGAGTCTGCAGCCACTGATTGGATAGTTCAGATCCCGAGAGCCGAACTGCCGTCAAGGCATGTCCCGAGAGGATGTGATTGGCTGGAAAGAATGGGGGCTGTCATCTATGAAAATACATCGTACATTTGAACGCTAAGATACAAGTCAAAATAGGGTAAATTAGGGTCTAGATAGCTGTCAACTCGGCGATCCGACGTTGCAGCTCTGGCACCGCTCGTAGCTGCAGGTCCAACTCTTCCTTCTCACTATAACAAAGTCAGCAATGATTAACCACGAATATCGGGTAACTTACTCTTCCAGTTTCAGACGCCGCTCCCAGTCCAGACCGGTAAAGATATAGCCTCCCTCTCCGTCGAACTGCAGGATCTTCTGGTGATATTTCCAGAGGCTGCGTCGATGTGAGACTGTCATCAGTGTGGTGCCCAGCTTTTTGGCCGTCTCATACATGACCTTCTCAATCTCCAAGGTTACTGAGGACGTACACTCATCCAGGATGGCGAACTTGGGCCGGTGGTAGAACAGACGAGCCATGGCAATGCGCTGCTGGAGACCACCAGACAACACATCACGCCACTCTTCCTCTGCATCCCAGCCTCCAGGGCGGTCTACGACGGACGCGATCTCAACCACAGAAAGAATGTCATAGAGATCGGCGTCGGTGATACCCTTGGCACGCATCTCACGAACTCCATCTGGATAGATGACCTGTTGCCGCAGAGTTCCACGGGATAGATATGGTCGCTGTGGGATGTAGAAGATGTCCTGGAAGGGAGGCTTCTTCACTGTTCCTCCGTACACCGGCCAGAGCCCACCCAGGATCCGGAAGAGAGACGATTTACCGCAGCCGTTGGGTCCAACAATCAAGAGATGCTCACCAGGGTGGACAGTGAAGGACAACTTGCGCACCAAGACGTCTCCATTTGGTGATACAATCGGTACGTCGGTGAACTCGATGGCGTCGCTCTCCATGACTTCGCCTCGACCAGACAACACAGCTGCATTCTCCTCGGTAGAGGCAGAGGATACCAGCTTCTTCTCAAATCGACCAGCCAGGAGGTCGTCCATAACTTCCAACAAAGACGAGACACGCGATGTGTAGCCAGCAAGCTCCGAAATCTCCTTGTAGGAGAACATTAAACGGCCAAAGGCATCTGATGAGGAAAGCAACATCCGACGGTTCGTGACAAAGCCTAGTACAATCAGCATAAACACACTAGCCCAGAGGAAACAAACTCACTTTCTGTGTGATCTCCCATACTGTGAGTGGTCTGTCCAGGAATCTTGAAGAAGACAGGCACACTGCAGAGAACCAAACCCAGAGCACCCCAGAAATACTTGATCACAAAATCCTCCATGAACCCATGATACAGTCTCCTGCGCAAAATGCGATTCACATGCTTGATAAGAGTAAAGTACCCCTTATCCAGGGTATCCTTCTCAGCTTCGTGGCCGTGGTATAGAGCCACCTCTTCATTGTAATCGATAAGCCGCGAGTGCAAGAACCGGAACTCACCCTCCAAGCGAGCCTCATCCGCCACGTATTTACCAAATGGCGGAGTCAGCATGCGCATGACGTTGGCTGACAGCTGCACGAGCAGACTCATAATGAACAATCCTTCTCCTCCCACATTCTTTGACAGGGAGTAGTTGTAAATAGCCATATCGAGAATCGGCTTGGCCAAGTTGGAGTATAGTTCAGCCAGACTATCCGAGAAACGAGACACATCGACCGTGACAAGCTGGTCGGGGTTCTTGATGCGGTCGTCCAAGGCGGAGATAGCATAGAAGGTCATATTAGACAGATACTTCTCATGGATATAATCAGTAAGACGCTTGCGATAGCTCAGTGCGAGCTTGCATTGGTGGTATGAGAGCTAAACCGACAAGCGATCAAGTCAGCAAGAAGATCGACCGGTCGCATATGCGATACTAGCCGGATAACTCGACGTTATCACCAACAACTCACCATAGAATTAGTAAAAGTAGCAGGAACAGCGACAATCATCCACCAAACAAGGCCCAGTAAGAAATCCTTCCCCTTACCGCGCACCAAGTTGCTCACGAGTCTTCCATCCAACTCAGCAACATACAAACTGAGTAGGGTGCGCAGGACCAAGAAAACACTATGGCTAACCAGCAAGCGTAGCTCCTTACTCCGCCACCCAGGGATGACGATCTTCAGCAAGCGAAGCAAATGCTTAAAGAACTCGCGGTTGATCTCGACTCGCTTCTTGCGGGGTTGTTCTTCGTCGCCGAGACTGCTGGTGCCGGGCCGTCGGCGGAGCTCGACTTGCTGGGTCGCGGCTTTCTGTTCGGAGATTGCATTATGGATTCGCTTGGCGAGCGCTGCGAAGAGGGCTAGATAGACGGCGCGAGAGATGCGGGTGCGGTGACGGAGGTAGAGAGTTGTTAGGCTCGAGAGGATCTGTTTGATGGAGCGCTCGGGCGGTAGCAGTTTGGACTGAACGGCCATGGCGATGCTGTTGTTACTGTTCAGCCGGAATCTGGGGCATACATGACCGTTCACAATGGGAGTTGGAGAGTTGGTGAGAGTGAGAGGTGAGGAGAGGAATGACGGAGGTCCTGACATGTGATACCCCAGAAACCCGGGGAAGTCCAACCGAGGAACTTCAACTGCCACAATACAACTATAAGTACTCCGTACAACTGTGGGAATAACCCCCAAGTCTCGAGTATACAACGAGATTACAAAACTCGAGCGCAAATTAAATGCTCGAATTTGTCACTTGAATCATTTATTATTAGGATATCCGTGAAACCCGCCCGTTTCAGGCTAAATTGGTACTTGCAGTCGATTACATACATGTGCACATATACAGAATGACAAAATGACGATAAAGTAAAATGCTGGAACAAACTGCCCCCTTGTGTCAGTCATATATACAATAGACTGCAGGCTGTCGGCAGATCAACAAAGACACGCGCATAGGTATGTACAGGTATTGGGAAATAACGTTAAAAGTTCAAGTCGTAAAAAAAATACATAATAAGCTGAGATGATATGACCTAAATGTAAAAGTTAAGGGGACTTGGCCTCTGATTCATCAGAGTCCTTCTTATGTTCTGGGTTGTTTCGAAGCCGAAGACCACTGTTGATCTGGGCAGCGATCTGGGACTGCTTGAAGCGCTCGAATCCTTCGGCATCTTGTCGCTGGACGGCCCAAAGTTCGTCAACGGTGGTGCCGAGTTCCTCGAAGGCCCTGTCGTTTTCGAAGTTGTCGAAATTGGACAAAGACTGCTCGTCGTGGAGACGATCGAGCTTCTGGCGGAGAGCGACGATGTGGGAATCGTCGTTATCTTTGTCTTCGTCGCCAGAGCCGGGGGCGAGGGATGGTTTGAGAAAGTCGCGGCGGAGGTTCTGGCCGATACGATGAATTTGACCTTCCTGGGAGGTCATGGCACGAGAGTGGAGCGAAGTCATGGAGCTGGCGCGGGACAGGCGGACGGCATAGTGGTCGCCATCTTCCTCGTCGGCTCCAGTCTCGTCAAGTTGGCTGTTGTTCAAGTTGCCACCAGTAGCCATGGAACCAGTGCCGTCTTCATTAGAGTGTTGGGAACTAGTATCGGGGGCTGGGACAGCGGGTGCGGTTTGGGGACTGATGCGAGTTTCTGGGTACTCGTCCTCGAAGCGCTGGATCATCCTGTGCAAGGTGACATCCAAGAATTGCAAGCGGCCTGAATGAAGTTAGCATATGACACCAGACCTATTAAACAATTGCCCAACTTACGGTAATTCGCATCATTGCCAGCACGATCCTCACGAATGAGAGCTGACTGAATCCGAGTTCTGATATTCCGGGCCGATTCAAGCAGATTCTTCGACATGTCACGGGGCCGTTTGCTAACAACACTGCGAGACTTGCGGCGCCTGGGAGTTGTAGTGCCACTTGCCGGTGCAGAGTGATCCCCAAGAGCCTCGAGACCCTGCTGGTCCAGATTTCCGAGGCAAACGCCCAATGCCTTGACCACACCTGTACCGCCAATAACATAGTCCTCGTCTGGAGCCACCTCGTCATCCTCGTCACACGGCTCTTCGGAGGGGAAACTATACCCGACAATGTGTTGCAGGATTTCAGGCACAGGAACATCCTTAGCTCCAAGGTGATCGAAAGAGTCGGAAAGCTCTTCCGCAATGGCACCCCCTTCGAGATTTCGTAGCGAGTAGGCCACGATCTGCGATGCCAGGGCTTTGACAACTTCGTTGTTTTCGGCGCTGGGTACATCGATATCGACTGCAATGATGGTTCGTGAAACACGCACAGCGGCCATCATAGACGCATATACAGCACATGCCTCTTCCTGGGCAACAGCATCGGTGGTAGAGGCCAGGTCCTCGATTTGTTGGTTTTCCAGAATATTCAAATGACAAAGACTGGGGCACTCTGGAAGCACCTCGGCAAGACCAATGACATGATCTGGGGTGAGATCGACATCAGCCAAATGGAAGCGCTTCAAAGACGGCATCTTTGGCAAGAAGCGACGGAATGCCCCAAGAGCACTGGGCTGAGCTGAGAATAACTCGCGATTGTGAGAGAAATCGATGAAGCGGAGGTTGTGGATCTGGGCAAGGGCTTGGAGCAGTGGATAGATCACTGACGGGTTCAAGGAACAATCGGCTAGACTCAAAGCCAAGAGTGGCTGCTCAGGCTCAATCGCATTCGTGACAAGATCAAGATCATCCTTGATGGCGTTGCCACCTAGGTCCAGGCCTTCACACTGACCGATCTTGAGATACTCAACCACATGTTCCAATCCCTCTCTCGTCAGACCGTTGTTGGCGAAGCCGAGCCTTCGCAAGCCCATCTTGGTGCTTGCCTGGCAGATTTGTTGGACGGCATCAACCGAAGGATAGCACTCACTCATAAGCAATTCTTCAAGGTGATCACCACCAAAGCGCTCTGCCAGGGCACTAGCGAAGACAGTGCTCACATCAACTGTCTGTGGCTGGGTTTGACCTGGTGCGCCAGAGCCACCGATCGCAATCTGACCACGAGGGAAAGGAATGCCAGACAAATCGATGGCTTTCAAAGATTTAGACAAGTGAATGAAGAGACTAATGTGACGCCATCCTTCTCGTCCAATCTTAGGATTGTTCTTCAAAGAAAGCTTTTCCACAACACCATATCTTTCATGATCCTTAACACCCGGGGACTCGGGTCTTCGAGATCGTCTCCGTCGGTAGCGCATCTGTTCCACTGTCTTGGTAGAAAGCAGACCTGCAAGAATGGCACGCACGGACGCATCCGTTAGTGCGCAATTTTCAAGAATCAACTTGCGGACTGGGACAACAGCAAGCCAATCACTGAAAGTTGTTAGGTCCTGCGATGTCATCGGGAAGTTGCTGAGATCCAGAGCCGCCACTGTACCGGGAGATTCAGCCAATGTTGATGAAGGTTTGGAAATCTCGTCAACCACTCTCTTGAGAACGGGCGTTTCGCGCAGCTGACAGCATCGACGATAGATGCGCACAGGATCGGTTGTCGGGTGGCTTTGCGTTTTGGATCGAGAGACGCCTGGCGGTGATGCTTGAGGTTCCTCCTCGTCATGCTCGGCATCCAGTTGCAATGGTACCGAGCCGTTTGCCACCGCTTGCCGCCGCTTTCTTTCCTTCCGTTCTTTCCGCTCTGCCTCCGACCGTTTCTTTTTCTCTTGCTTCCTTGTTGGATCAGTCCCTTCGCCATTTGGAGCAGATTCGGTAGATGGTTTGGGTGCTGTGGTGTCTTTGGGGGGAGAAGAAGACTGGGTAGCCGCATCGCGTGTAGCCTGAGCAGGAGCCGGTGGAGAAGCATCCTTTTCAGCCAAGGCAGTTTCTGGATGTTTCAAGGCGGCTGCTTCCTCTTTCCCCTTCGACTTGAGATCTGCCTTCTTAGACTTGTGGGTATTAGACTCGGGGAGAGGCTGCCGTAGTTGGTTGGTCGGAGGAGCTTCCTCGTCGTCATCGCGGTGTGATATTCCCGCAATTTCCACGTCCACACAGAAAGCCACACGGTTTAGTTTAGCCTGGTTTAGGTCTGGGACTTTGCATCGGTGTCGATTCTGGTCGATGTTCATCACACGACGCGGGCAGATGGAATCATTGGGATTCAACTTGGGCAAACCACCAGAATTGGACGAAAACTTGCGCAGAGCATTGTGAATAAACGACGCGCCTTTAGGTGATGTCGAATTAAACGGGTTGGAGTCGTCTTTTTTCTCCTCTTCCTTGTCCTTCGGGGAGTAGGCAGCGCCGAACGGATTGTGTGTGTCGAGGGGTGAAGTCGTTTTCGGACTTGCAGGACTAGATTTTAGACTAGATTGCGACGGCGGCGTAGACCCAGACGAGAATTTCGAGCTCAAATTGGATATCCAGGAGTTTCGTCGTCCAATGGGCTTCGGGTCGCTTTTTCGCGAAGCCGGAGATGGCGTGGATGCCTTTTGCTCCTCATTCTTCTCCGCTGGTTGTGGCTTCGATTCTACTTGCGTTATATCGCTCTGAGGGGCTTTCTTCGGCTCCGAGGAAGGGAGAGGGTGTGCCGGTTGCGCCGGGCTACTGTTGGATCGATTTCTCCGGTGCGACTTGGGAGGGGAGGATGCTGGCTGCTCTGTGCCAGCTCCGGGTCCCGGCCTTTCACTAGTCGTAGTCGCCGAATTCACAGACTTCGTGCGAGATAAATGGTCTGAATCAAGTGTCAGAAGTGTTATCTCCAAGGCCTGCCATACCCCGGGTTCGGAGAAATCGCTTGCAAGGAAAGTCGGACGTACCTTTCTGTGAATGATGAAGCCAGCTCACGTCCACGGTCTGAACGCCCTCCATGTTGAGATGACCTCGCTCGATCTTAATGTTCAGAAAGACTGAGTCCGGAGCAGGTGTCGAGGTTGGTCAGCGGTGTGGCGTTGTATGACGGGAGTGACTGAATAGGATCTAAATCGTATGACGCATTATTGACTGTTCCCCCACTTCTCATGGATGATCGCAAGAAGACGGTTTGAAGAGACAAATCAAGTGGACAGTACTAAAACCGCGCCAGAGGACAGCAAATGGAAGTGCCGCAATGATGTGCCGTATGATCTGCGACCGAGGGTTCCGTTATACACCGCTACAGGAAATGACAGCGCATGGCCATTGGGAGTAACGAAGAATGCATAGTGAATCAAGAAAGAAGATTTCCAGAAGGAAAAGCCCAGGAGACTCCGGATGGGGTAGTTTAAGCAATGGAATAAGGTGACATAATAAGGTAATTGGGCCGGGGGGAGGCTCCACTGAGGCACGTGAGCGTCGAGTCCCGTATCATATCCACGTGACCCAGTACGTACTGTATGGTAATTGTGAGGCTCTGTTGGTTACAGGGTCCCCAAGGTAATAGGAGCCTTATATCGATATCGTTAGGATCTATTGGGATGCCATAATATTCTTGTTTAATTAAATTCTTTAGATCTGACTTTGCTCCTGGGATCCAAATGTAGGATTCCCATTCCACTGATCAGCGCTGCTAGTGAGAATTAGCCCTTTATGGCTCAAAATTCTTCTTGTTACAGTGGATCCTGCTCTCACCGATCCTACCTCCCAATGATCGGCTATATCGAATAGATCTCTAGTGAGTGCCCTCGATAAGTGAGACGAGCGCTGACTAGATATTTGCGACACGCATCGCTTTTCTGAGAATCTGAGATGACCTAGCAGGAACGGGGTTCACTGATAGGTATCAGTTAGCGTAAATATATTGTGCATATACCCCTTCCTCCACATCAATTGAACTTGTAGCCCCTTTGGTTGGTGAAGAAATATAACTGTGGATTCGCCAAACTTCAAAATTTACAGTAGGATTCTAAAGACACATCTATAGCAATGTGTACCTCATAATCAATAGAGTGTATCACTTATTCCCTAAGCCCAGCTCAAACATAAATAGGCTGCTTCCCATGCCCGGATTTTGAAATAGACAAAACACCCTTCCTCCGTCTAATAACAAGTACACACCTCCCTCTCTCTCCTCCACCGTATCCAAAATGATGCTCAACACTTGACCATCTTCGCCTCCAACTTAATAATAATAGATAAAGTACGGTATACAGAAATAATTATAACTTACTTATTAGTAGAGTCAAGATACGGTAATGCCAAGATATAAATTTGCTGCTAAGTTACTCAACATCATCCTTCATTGTTATACGTGTATTGAGTTAAGTTACAGTTCACTTTGCAAGATGCGTTTTACAGGGCTGGTCTGACGTTAGAGTTGTTGGTCAACATTGAATATGAACACAAAAGCTCACAACTTACTCGAGCTCTACAACTCAGTCCTATAAGCATCGACCAGCACGGGGGGGGAGCAATGGGTTTTACACTAAGACGGCCGGAGATGACAGGTTGTACCATAAGGTGATTGCATTGTATGAACCATTAATAGCAAATCATTACCTACAGGTACCGGTGTCGAACACACCGAGCCGATGATCATTTGAACGCACAAAAAAGACGGGTATCCGCGATGAAAACGCCTAAAAACGCCTCGCTAGGACCGAGAGTGTCCTGCCGATAAAAAATAAATCGCCTCCGAATGGTATGCGATGAAAGAAACAGTCATCACAGCGTCAAGGGGGATTAAGGCCATTCCGCACATAGCAATGGACCCATCTTCTTACTCCAGACCAGGGATATCCTTGAGATATTCCCAACCGTACTCCTCCTCTTTAGCCTCAGCCTCCATGCCCAGTGCAAAGCGGTAGGCGCGGACTTCATTCTGCAGACCGGAGATGATCTTAGTGGGGAGGTCGTCTTCCTCGCAGCGCAGGCGGTAGGCAGTGCGGATCATTTCGGCACACTTCATGGTTTGTGCATGCCAGTGGTCGCGGTCAAGACGGCTCTCCAGGTGGGCATCGCGCTCGGCTTGAAGGAGATTGTTGTAGTGGCGCTTCTGAGCAAGGTAGTGCATGTTGTTGTTCTGGCAGTAGTTGCGAATCTGCTCGACCATGACTCCCACGGCGGTTTGGAATTCGAGAATCATCTTGTAGTTCTCCTCGCGATGGTGCTTGTGGTTTGCAGATACGGACTTCTCCTTGGCCAAGGCGCGCTCGAGTTCGGCGACGCGGGCAGCTGCTGTCGGTTAGTAATCGCAATGGATGGGGGTTTCAAAAAGGTCTGCGTACTAAGATTTTCGCCGTTCTGGTCACCCGAGCGAGAACTGTCGGCGATGCCATTCTTCTGCGGACGTGTAAGCTCATGTCACAGCCGAATGTTCTCAGATTCCACTTACCATGATCTCCTCCGCGTTGGCAACGATGTTCTTGGTGACATCCCGGTTGTTCTTCAGGACATCACTCAATTCGACGACCATCTCGTAGAGATGATGCAAGTCCATCTGGTGACCAGCGTTCATAGGCATGCCACCCATGCCGCCCATGCCGCCGCCGCCGATCTGAGTGGTGGAGGAAGCGTGGGAAAGGGCGGGAGACGGAGTCTGACGAGGGGGAATATTGGGCACGGCATTGCTATCGCCATAGCCGGTCGAGCCCGCGTAGATGCCAGAGTTGGGAACGTTGCTAGACATGGTAGCGGCGTTCATAGAGATGTCGGCGTTATCGAAAGCACGGTTCAGTTCCTCAAGTGAAGGATCGTTGGGGTTGAAGGTTCGGGGAGTGCCGTTATCCTCGTCGTACCAGGAGGCGTGATTCTGAACGCCTAGGACCTCCGATTGAAACTTCTCAAGGTCACGGCGAGTAACGTGGGTGGAACGACGGCGATGCCCACGCGCGAAAGGCGCCTTGGAAGGGGAGGAAGAAGTGGCACCCTCGATGGTGGCGGATGGGCTGATTTCAGTATCGCTATCGATCGCGTTCTCGGAGCTCTGATCAGATTCACTGGTCGGGGAGCAAGCAACAAGCGTGTTGTGCTGGGGATTCACGCTAGTCCCACATGGGACTAGATCACCACGTGACAAGCCACGTAATGGATGGCGCCCCTCGACCAACTCCCTCATCTTCTCAAGAGCATTCATTTTTAAAAAGAAAATGGTCAATCCTGGGGCCACGAAGAAATGGATAAGACTTGCCCCTCGAGGAACCGGTTTCCCAGTCTGTCAAGTGGGGCAAAGCCTATTTCTTTCTCGACCGACGGAGAACGAGTGTGTAGGTGTAATAGATCAATGACGGTGATTTACACACAGAACGGACCCCAGAACGAGATGCCCTCGATTAATTGGCACGTGCGTCCTATATCAAAATCTAACCTGAACGCCTGTGGCCACATCTAGCACATCCCATTACTTTGGATTTGGTACGAGGCTATATTTGCAAAAGGCACCAGATATATACAAAGGGCATCGGCATCGTAACCAGGACAACGAAGACTACGCATCACAAAACTTCATGCAAGTTCAGAATAAGAAAAAAAGATAGGAGGGTTCAATTGATTCTGTATCGCAACCGCAAGTAAATTCATTGTATGCAATTAGCAAGGGGTATTTCAGTTCGTCAAGTCATATCCATCAAGGCCTCCAATCTCTGAGCAGAGCCCGGTAGCGAGTACTCGTGGGTTTCAGGGATATCGCTGCTTCGTGTCTGCTGTGCAATCCTGCCTCCAACTCTTGCAACCAGAATTCGCATTTTCTCTAATTCTTGAACAAGCTCACCATCCTTGGTGATAAGGTTTGGTTGGATATCTTTTGGGGGGTCTTTGAACGGTTCAAGCAATCGCTGAAGATGCTGTAATTGATCGAGGCGCCGTTGGCGTTGCTGCCGTTGACTATCGAGGCTAGCCAGGCGCTCACGGAGCTGCTGGTATCTGTGCAACTGGTGTCAGGCGGGCGGAACTCCAATAGGAGGAAATCGGAATACATTGCAGACTAACCTTGTATTCTGTTCTTCGCTTGGTTGCTGGCCTTCCAGCTCAACAGGCAGCTTTGTGATGTTCCTAGTTCATGTTGGTCAGACCCTCATTACACTTTGCGTAGAGCCGGCTTCGTCTCACATTTGCCTTGACAAATCTGCGGTCTTTTCAACACCTCGGGCAAAGACCCTCCGACTGCGAGCATCTTGACTGACCGAGGTCCAGTACAGACTTGCAATCTGTTGGGCGACGTGATGTATTGCTTGTGATGAATAAACAACGCGGTTGTGCTGCTTGGCGGCGGCATTCACTATGAAATGGTTAGCCCCATGAACATCCCAGTGAAATAGGATTTGAAGCCCAAAAAAGGCCATGGGGGATTGCGATTGGTGCTCTGACATTTGTGTAGGACATCTTCAATGACCTTGGGGTTCAGATCTCCCTCTTCGGTTTCGGTGGCATAGTTCCGCCAGTCTTCAGGTAGGTCGAGACTCTCGGACAAGATGCGGACTTGAGTCCATATAAAGGCAGATTTCAGCTCAACGATCGTTCGACCTGACTCCATCTCGGGATTGTTAGAGAAACACCATTGAGCCTCGCGCAGAAAGCGCGCCTTATCGATAAGAGGCACGTGACGCCTCCGCAAATGGGATGAAGAGTTGCCATTTGACAACGGGTCATATTCTTTTGAGAACCCTTTCTGGATATATCAAGAGAAAGACCCTTATTATCCATGCAGTCAAAAGTGGACCGATAACGCCTGTCGAGGTGGGGAGCATATCCTCGGTCTGAAGTGCAGCGATCGCCAGTACCTCGGCAATCTGACCGTCTCCAGAGTCCATATTGATTCAAGTAGTTCAGATCCTTCTGAACCCAAGAATTCTAGGCCATTCTACTTTCAGTGTCAGCTTAAATTCAAGCAGCTCTCGCACTTCCTGCCATTACCGCTATTAGCCCTGTTGTTATCTCAAGATGGCAGAGACCAAACGCCCGGTGGGCCTATTGTTCGACATTGGAGGAGTGTGTGTAAGTCAACCACTCGGCCCAAACATCTACAACCTAGTTACTAACTATATTGTAGGTTGTATCGCCATTCCAAGCCATCCTAGACTACGAGATCGCCCAGAATATCCCACCAGGATGGGTCAATTTCAGCATCTCACGAACAAAGCCGAACGGTAGCTGGCATAAGCTGGAGCGGGGCGATATCAAGATGGATGCGGACTTCTTCGCAGGCTTCAATACAGACCTAAGAAACCCTGATCTATGGAGACAATTCCACCAACAACTTCAGACGAAACAAGGCACCAGTTCGACCACCATTCCTCCCCTGCCAACGGTGGATGCCGAATGGCTCTTCTGGGAGATGATGCGGATATCGCGCACTCCAGACCGATATATGTATCCGGCTCTGAAGAAACTCAGAGAGTCTGGTCAATTCTTGATGGGGGCTCTATCCAACACTGTTATATTTCCCGATGGACACGAATACAATAAAGATGTCTCCGGGGTCAAGTCGCAATTCGACTTTTTCATTTCCTCCGCACATTCAGGCCTTCGCAAACCTGATCCGAAGATCTATCAGGTGGCGTTACAGGAAATGGATACTCTAGCTAAGAAGCGGGGACTGCCGGGGACTAACCCCAACGATATCGTCTTTTTTGACGACATCGGGGAGAATCTGAAGGGAGCAAAGAAGGCCGGTATGCGTACGGTCAAGGTCACTCTAGGAAAGTCTCAAGATGCAGTCAAGGAACTAGAGAAGCTCACTGGTCTTCAATTGCTGGAGGACCAGGCACGTCTGTGATGTAAAGGGGAGACTTTGTGTTGAGAAGTCCTAGATGATTATCGAAAATAGGAAGAGTATTCAAATAACTTTCAATAATGGTTATTATTATTTTTTCTGATTTTCCCTTCATTTGTGGTGAATTAATTCCGTTGTGGTGTTGGGGCCATACAAAATCCGATGTTCCCTCGTCGCCGACCACAATTCTGATGGGAGATGCAGCCACGCGCTAAGCGAAAACCCGCACAAATTGGCCCCACGAAATTTTTGTTCTTCTTCCTTGACCATCCCTCAGCACCCTCGACACCGTCAAAATGGTGAGTTGAAACTGGCTGAAAATGCCTTGATCTTTATATCCTCTCCCTTCGGAGCCGGGTCCCTGCAAGCTGCTTCGGCGTGATTTCTGAAGCGTTAATTGCTGACTCGTGATGTCTTCTACAGCCTTTCACCAAGACTGTCAAGAACGACGCCTACTTCAGGTGAGTTATTTCCACACCAGTTTATCCGCTGCGATTTACTAATAAATTTTAGTCGCTACCAGACTAAGTACCGCCGTCGCCGTGAGGGTAAGACCGACTACTATGCTCGCAAGCGCCTGATCACCCAGGCCAAGAACAAGTACAATGCGCCCAAGTACCGCATGGTCGTTCGCTTCACCAACCGCGACATCGTTACCCAGATCGTCTACTCCGAGATCTCCGGTGACAAGGTCCTCGCCGCTGCCTACGCCCACGAGCTCCCCAAGTACGGCATTGACCAGGGTCTGACCAACTGGGCCGCCGCCTACGCCACCGGTCTTCTCCTCGCCCGCCGTGTCCTGAAGAAGCTCAACCTTGACGAGCAGTTCAAGGGTGTTGAGGAGGCCACTGGTGAGCACACCCTCACCGAGGCCGTCGAGACTGAGGACGGTGAGCGCCGCCCCTTCAAGGCCTTCCTTGATGTCGGTCTCGTCCGCACTTCCACCGGTAACCGTGTGTTCGCCGCCATGAAGGGTGCTTCCGACGGTGGTATCTTCATCCCTCACTCCGACCGCCGTTTCCCCGGTTACGACATTGAGGAGGAGACCCTCGATGCCGAGACCCTCAAGAACTACATCGTCGGTGGCCACGTCTCCGAGTACATGGAGAACCTTGCCGATGAGGATGAGGAGCGCTACAAGTCCCAGTTCGTCAAGTACATTGAGAACGAGATCGACGCTGGTGACCTCGAGGAGATCTACACTGATGCCCACAAGGCCATCCGCGAGGATCCCTTCAAGGCTGACGAGAACGCCGGCCCCAAGAAGTCCAAGGCCGAGTGGAAGGCCGAGTCCAAGAAGTACAAGGTCCAGAAGCTCACCCACGCCCAGCGCAAGGCCCGTGTCGAGCAGAAGATCAAGGAGCTCTCCCAGTAAGAGGATCGCTTCTTATCTTTCTCAAAAGTTCCACCAAAATTCAAGAGGGAATTGGCTACTGCCGGCGTTTTTTTCGATGTGATGTAGTTTGACGGATCATGGACATACCACTGTTTTTTTTTACGAGGTTTTTCTGGGAGCAATTAGTTCGGTGTTCATTCAAGGCAATTTCTTTACTCAGTTCTAACTGCTCCCGTCAATGTCCATCAGTCTTGTTCCCTCATGTGCTTCCTTGCATCTGCTTGTAGATGGGACCCGTAGTGTTCGTAAACCCTCTAACCCTCCGTATCTGCTTCAATCCAACAAAGACATGCCATTGATTTATGCCAGTCAAATTGACTCGACATACTCGACATACTCGACATACTCGACATGAAGCGCAGGATGTAACTTAAACATATCATGAAACAAACTGCCCCACCCACGATCCCTGCACTGCCAGCACAGAGTACCTGGTGACCACAGTACAGTAAAGGACAAGAGATCTGGTGTCTCAATAGTTTGCTATCCTCACATCATCCAGGGGGCTGTTAAATAATACAATCATTACAATAGTACCCATGTTCATTATTAATATTCCGGAGACGCTAACAGAAGAATTGGATGATCCCATATCGCTCTCCGCCTATAATCCCAACAACCAACCAACCCCATGAAGAGATATCAGCAACACACACACGCAAGCTGGCACCGAGCCAACGCAGGCAAGCTCGAATGCCCATGGTGTCTTGAGAATCCTTCTTTGCAAGACAATGCCGGTCCCCCAAGCCGACCGCAGTCCAAACTGCGCACGCGGGTGCCAACTCGCAATGGGCACAGCAGAATGGGGACTGTCTCGCCTAGTCTTTCTGTTCGGACTGAGCAACCTGTGAAACATAAACATGAGAATGACAACGAACACGAACACTATGATCATCATTCTTTCCCTGCCGAGGGTCAAGTCGCCGATGCTCAGGTTGAAAGTCAACGTCACACCGCCGACTCTGCTGATGCTGATGCTGCGCATGTTGAGAATGACGTCGCCTCGAACGTGGAAAATGCTAGTCATGTTCATGAGCAGGATGGGCAGAGCTTGAATGGGGCACAGGACGATAGTGCTCTTGTTGCAGACCGCCAGTTCTCTCCTGAGATATCCGATGACCGGACAACTTCTGAGCAATGAATGCTTGTCCAAAGGTGGGTGTCAATTCGTGCATCGATGGTCTTATTAGCCACGTCATTTATATATATATATGCTAATAGGGTCATGATAGTTCCATATCCCAGTGAATTGCTTCCGATGACGTCGAGCCATGTGCGGTTGGGAGAACAAGACCTTTTTTTTTTTTCAATGGATTGGAAAAAAGGAAATTGGTAGTGTTGATTATGTCGAGTATTAGCTATATATATTATAAATGATTGGATAACCTCATGATTGTGCAAATTCTTATGTATCAAACAAAGGAGTCTGAGTGAAGCGAGAATTTCTCATGTTCATATCATTGCAAAAAGAACATGACACCGAAGACAGAAAGAACTGAAAGACCAGTCGTACTCTAGTTGCTAGGAAGCCTACAGGGACGAATCATTGCTAGAACAGGGAAATGTACTGCCAAAGGGATCCTTTCAATAGGGGGGAGGTTACGGGCGATCTTCGGCTTCATAATCAGCTTTGCCTTTTTGAATGGGGTGGTTTCAGGGATACCAATTGCCGTCCTTTGGACCTGCAACCTTGATTCTGGCATCCAGGATGCTGTCAGCATCGCTATTGTTTGTATTGTTCTGTTTATCGTCGGGGTCCCATTTTGGTTCAAATCAAAACCAGAATTTTGCAACGCGTTGCCCGACTTGATCATTCACGGAATGCATCAGACACCTCAGGGGGCCAAATTGGCATTGATACGTTTGACACTTATCGCTACATTCGTTGCTGTGCCTTTGGCACTAATTTGGCCACGCCCACTAACTAGTGGCATCAAGAGTGGACTGACAGTGGGGATTTTGATGCTTGTAGCTTTTTCCCCTGCTAAGTACCTGTTTTTTGTGGGTCTTAAGAGGGTGGCCTTACCCCATTCCCTATTGGTATACGCTTAGTAGTAGCAAAATCTTTTCTGCATTAATGGCTTCTGTTTGAGGACAAAGAACTACAAGCCCGCTTATGCCGATGTCTTTTTAAAATGAAAATTTGAATAACCCGACAGAGACAGAGTGCCCAAAAGAGATTTAGTGGAATATATTGAAACTGATACTTTGTAGCGCAGATATACCATATTTATCGCATATGTCAATACTGCTAGAATTTTAGGTCAAAAAAACCCACTAGGCAATATATTGTCATTGTACCTGTATAGTAAATCAAAATGTTGGAACAACAGCCAATAGCAGAATACAGTCAAGCGGCATGCACTAGTATAGACATGGTTAGCATATTGTGCTCCTCAGCTCGCCCATCATCTGAGATACACTCAAATTACTCAAATTAAACCTCTGAAGATCACTATATGATCCCCTGGAAGTGCCATATTCATTCCTCAAATTAGCATATTATCATCCCCCCAACTGTGTGGGCTCTTTCAACCAAAGGCATCGCAGTCGATTTTAGTTTAGTTCTAAGTACGTTCAAGAGATGCAGTTCGCAATGTGTGCTGACGCGATGCACCGCAATACACAGAGATTCAAAACCA